AATAATTCTTAAATTGATTAAATTCTTAAAAATATTTGATATAGATTTTAATGGAAAATTTGTCTTGTTTAGATATATGAATTTTAATTTAATTAATTTATTAAAAATATTATCTTCAACTGATTTTATTCTACTGTTTGAAATTATTAATAATTGTAAATTTTTGAAATTTTTCAATTCAATTTCTCTAAGAATTTCAATATTGCAGTAGGAAATATCTAAATTTAAAAGATTTACAGCATTAAATTTCTTTAAGCTGTTTAAAGTTGTAAATAGATTATTTGATAAATTCAAATTTTGAAGTACTGATAAATTTTGTATTTTAGAAAAATTAAGGAATTTCAGTTGATTTTCTGTTAGAGAAAATGTTAATAAATTTGGTGGAATTTTATTAAAATTTATCTCTTCAAGATAGAAATTTTTCTTTATTTTCAAAATGAAATTATTTCTTGAATTTGAAATTTCATTGAATGTAAAATTTCCTTCAAGTTCAATTTTTTTTATGTAATTTTTAAATTTTCCATTAAGATGAATGGCGGAAGCATTTTTATTTCTACATATCATTTCATATTGAATTATAAAAGTGCAGTTGTTAAACTCCTCTTCCATTGTAGAATCTTTTAAATTGCATAACATTTCATCAGAGTTCTCTTTGCAGTGAGAAACTCCATCGCATACTTTATGACTTGAGATATAATAGTCTTCTTTACGGCATTTAAAGAAACCTTTTCGGATGTAATCGCCTATGTAGATTTATTATATTTAGCAATCTTTCAAAATTGGTTAATGGATATATTTCATTCCAGTTTTTGACAGATTAAAATGTTACATTTTTACATTTTTATAGCTAAGCTGGAACGAAATATTGCAGTGTAAGAGATGATTCAATCGTATACCGCAATTAATTTCGTCATCGCCGTGTAGACAATGACTTATTCCATCACAAATCTGCTCAACGTATATACAAGTACCCTCCAATTGACATTTATACTGAGCTTTTAAGCATTTTCTACGCGGACTGGCACATTCCATATGATCCCTGAAAATTCAAGGAGAGTGAACGATAGCCCCAAACGATCAATTGAATATATCTATACCGGATGTATGGAACATCCGGCCTATAGAGAAGATTTCCATAAGCATCAAAAACTAAGTAGCAAGTGCCCATTGAAACAAATTTACATATTTGACTATACGATCGAGGTTTGCATTTCTCTTCATCGTTTGGCTGACGACAGTTTAAAATGCTATTACATTTGAATAGTAAAGATTTACATAGGCCGTCACAAGCAAATTGCATTCGAGTATTGCAATCTTGAAAATAATAAATTCAAAGAAAGAGTATAAAATAAAACTTTGTAAAACACTTTTCTCATATTGCTGTTTAATTGCATTCTGGTTTTTACAAATTTCGTCTGTTCTATCAAAACAGTTGGGCGAACCATCGCAAATATTTTTTTCATTTATGCATTGTTTGTTCTTACACATGGCTCTATTTTATTAAAGTTAAAATTTTTAATTCTACTGCAAAATTAACCTACTGGAAAAAAATATACCCTGTAACAGTGTCGCACGACTCTCTATCTGTAAAGACGATTTCATTTTGATTCCGAATGGTTTATTTAATTGAATCCTACCGCAAAACTTCTCATCCGAACTATCCGTACAATCGCTGTGAAAATCACAGAGAAGAGAATATCTAATTCTTTCTCTCTTATTAAAACATAAGAATTGATAACTTGAATCTTCGCTGTCTTCATCACAATCAATTTCATCTTCATTACTTAAACAATCGTTTTCGCCATCGCACAAATATATAGAATTGATGCATACTTGACTAATTTTACAATAGAATCCATTGATTGGACAAAGTGTATTTGATTCTTGAATTGGTTGGAGTAAATTACTATGATTTACTGAAAGATTTAGACAGGAAATATATTGAATTTGTTTAAAAATCACTAAACAAACAATGAATTTTCTGACATAATAGAAAATCATTTTTTGCATTATCAGGTTTATTCTTTATTTGTGATTGTTTCGGATTTCTTTTTTAATAGAGAGAAGTGTTTATTTATTTTAAATCTTGGCTATTTTCATCAGATACCTTTGAAGGATAAAGGATAGAACTTTTGTATACAGTCTATCTGACATATAGTCATAAGCCAACTCTTTAAAACTATCAAATCCTTTGGCAAAACAATCGTCGCTGATGAAAAATTGAAAAGCATTTTCGTATAAATAATAAGAAGTTGGAAACAGTTCCACTAAATAGTTGCTGCTAGTCAACATTTTTGGAATTCCTTTTACAAGTTTTGTTTTAGTTTCTGAAAAGAAAAAATGATATAAAATGCTAAAACAAAGAAGAGAAAGTGTTTAAAACTACTTGTTAAAATTTCAATACTACCAGTTTTAGCTTGTTTTGCATGATATATTTTATAAAGTAAAAGGTAGGTTAATAAATATATTTGATTTTTTGTTGGTAAATCTGATAGTGTAAGATTTAAACTTTTACACTTTCTCTCCATCTCATCAACGCCTATAGGCTTATCCAATATGTATATATAATAGCATACACTTTCAAAGTAGACCGAGTTGTTATCAATACAAGGAACGCCTAGAAAATTATGGAATAAATTGGAATTGGAATTGCAGTTAGTTTAGTTTTTCTACTTTTATTTGTGCATTTAATTTCTAATAGTTCTGTAAATTTTTTCAATACTCTGTAGAGTTTGTTATACTGCAAATTATAATATTAAAAGTATAATATCTAGTAGTAGTATAAATGCCTTTTATCGTCAGCTTTGCAGTTTTCAATATCTGTTTCGTTAATTTCACAATCTATCTTTGAAATAAAGAGGTTATTCCTATACGGATTATAATGCATGAAATTTGATGGAATCTTTAATTGTCCATATTTGAATTGATATCTTTTACAAATAAGCTGAATTTCTGGACTTTTTAATACTTCAATAAAGAAATTTATACCATTTTTATAATAGAAAACATTTCCAAATATTTCTCCATTAGAATTTGATTCAATTCTTTCAAAAGTGAACTTGTTTCCTATTAAAAATTACAAGAAAAGTCTATTAATTCAACAATTGGTATCTTTGACTTTTGTCTAAATTAAATATAAGTAATAATCTACTTGGATAGCCTATTTTCTTCCTGCAAATGATTCTACTAAGGGAAAAACTTTGTCCACTTTTAACTCTCTTAAAGTAGCAATTCTTTACAGCGTAATTTTTTATTGAACAACCAGAAAGAAGGGGAAAATGTCTCTGAAAGTATAGGAAAGATGAATCATTAAAAGTTTATATTTCCTACTGTAGCCTTTCTCTCTCTCTCTCTCTCTCTCTTCATTTACATTGCCAAATGGGTTTACGATTGATAAATTTGGTCCTGTATCCATATTTTGAGCTGAGCAGGTTAGCATTGAAAATTTTGTTTCTACCGCTCTAGTTTCGCCTAGAAGGGGAAAGAAGCCGTATATTTTTGATTTTATCCATACTTTGCAGAATCTCATGCTTCTTTCGCCGAAACGAGATAAAGAATCTGAAATTATCTTTTCTTCTGGTATAAACAGACTAAAGTCTAAAGAAAACAGCAATTTCTTAGTTGGATTCTGAAGAAAACTGATATTGGTACAGACCATTCAACTGTTGGTAGGAACAGACGAAATTTTTGACGTTATTCCTTTTACTTTCAATTTGAACAATTAAATCGGAATTACTTCTATTTGAATGATGATGAACATTGGCAAAGTATTTCTCTTCGTAATTGAATTCTTCTTCAACAAAATGTTGGTACTTTGTGCAAAGTTCTTTTGTATCTCCACCTAAAATAGGATAAATTTTACCTTTCCATTGAAGAAACAACTTAAAAGCGTTATTCGTAATAGATTGAAGAAAGATGTCTATAGTGATTCAGATAGTAATTATAATTATTAAATATACAAAATATGTTTACAAGATGAATTTCGTTTAAAGCAGATTATATGAATTCTCTCGTGGACTTTTATCTTTTCAATTTTGCTAGAAATGTTAAGAAAAGATTGGAAAAAGTGTATATTTATCAAATTTTCATTCAATCATTTTAAGATATTACTATTCACAACACGGATTTGTTGATAAGATTACCACTGATTTCATTTGAATATTACTTAAAATGTATTCAATTTTAGCATGATCAGTGTTAAATGTTGTCCAATTTTTGCATAATAACAGTTTTGTCTCTCTAAACCATTTGTAAATGGTATAATTAATTTGCAGGGCGTATTCATTTCCTTCCAATGAAATAGAAATCTCGCCCTTTGAATAAATCTCAGAATTTTCAATAAGAGAATAATTAAATGGGAAACAGTGAAAATCCAGAAAGAAAGTATGGAAAATTACAAGATATAATAGACATTTTGATAACATGTTCCTTTTTGTTGAAACTTGGAAAGAAAATTTGTTTAAAGGAAAAAAGAAATCAAATAAAATATCTATTTCAACGATATGAAAGTCAACTCTTTTAATTAATTTTTTACCTTTAAATCCGAACGAAATTTCGTCGATTGCGATGATTAAACTGGAAAATAAAAGGATTGAACTTTAGGATAAGAATCCAAAATTTCAAATAGGTTTACTAACTTGTTAAGTCTTAAGTCTAGGGTTGAAGTCCAAAATTTGGAACATTTTATACAGCATCCTATATATATATATATTGGATATTGACTTTATCAATTAGAAAAGATGAATACGAAACAGAAACATAACACTTTTGACATTTTGTTAAAAGTATGATAAGGAATTCAAGTAATTTCAGCATGATATCATCCTTTTAAAACCGCAACTTGTGACTATTCAGCCAGATAAAATCCTTTAAAATACGTTTTTTTCGATTTTTTTCTATATAGTCCATTTCCAACTGAATATAGTTTTCATGATGAATAAAACATATCTTTTTTTTCTCTCTTTGAATTTCCTCTGTTTATGCATAACAACAAAATCAGCCATGGTAGCAACTACTTATGAAATGTCTATACAAGATTCAAGAGATGAAAAGGTGTACGTTGAAGGAATTTTAAAAGGAAAGATGTTGATGGAAGATAATTGGTTGATTGTGAAATATGAAATATATACAACTCAGCAAAATAATCTCCTGTGTGAGAAAATGGGCTACGAATCCATTCATTCAGTAGCCTTGCCCTGTAAATTGGACACTCTACAATCGGAAGCCATTGAAATATCACTAAAAACCGGAAGTTGTTGTAATTTGTAAGTAAAACTAGATGAATTTTTAATAGTTTTCAATCGAAAATGGACATTTTTCTTATTTTTTTCTTTTTTTCAAAAAAGTTCAAAAGTTGAATATCATTCAGACAAAGCATTTTGTATTAAATGCTTCAAGAAACAGAGCCAATGTAAGAATATCATTCTATTATCGTTATTTTGAATGATTCAATTACCAGTTCATTGTATTTATACCATTCAGTTATTTTTGCTGTATTTACACAAAAAATGTATCGATTATTTTATAAAAATGATGATAGTTTTTATAAAATAATTGGCAACAGAATGCAAAATAGAGAACACTGCAAAAGATCAGAGTTTTTTCTTAATGAATTTGAAAGAAATGTTACAAATTTCGTTAAAATGGGAGAATATTTTACAGATAAGTTAAAAGAAGATGAAAGTCATTCAAGATGTACTTTTCAATATTTAAAAGGTTCAAATAAGAGAATTAATAAAAGTTTTTTAATTAAAAAGTTCAATTATGCTCTAATTCAATCGCTAAACTTAAACATTAAGAATGTTGAATTAGAGTTAGAAAAAAAAGTCAAATAAAGAAATGATAAAAGAAAAACTAATTTATGTTCAACTTTTTAGATGTTACAGTTGACTATCTATGGAAAAATGAATCTAGAACATATTCATATATTAATAAATACAAAACATATTCAAATTATTTCTTTATTTCCAAAACACTTGGAGTTTCTCCTCCCTTCTTTTTTAATATAAAACGATATTCCCTTCTGTGTGTAAAGCTCTGTTGGTATATTCAATCTATTGCGGATGAGCACAGTTGCTTCAAATATTATATTCAAAACAATGTAAAAGAAGCTTTTTTTTTACCGTGTGGGAGAGAACGTGACATTATTTTGGCTTTTTTTTTATTAAAAGCCTAACGCAATAATTAGCCAAAGTGGTCTTCCCTAATTCGGATTTATCTAAAACGTCCCTACATTGGCGAAAACTTTTGAATAGTCTTTAAGACGTTTTCTCCCAACTCCCTTCGTTTCTAAATATAAAATCAAAAACATTGTTTTCAGGAAGCATCGGCAATGGTTTGCGAAATGGATAGGGGTAAGTCTGTCAAAGTTGTTCGACACTGTCATCATATGGCCGCCAAGGAGAGAGTTGCAGTTGTTGAACCAAGATGCCAAAAGTTGAATAAGACAAGTCAGTTAAGAGGATAAATCCTCTTTATATGACAAAAAAACAAAATGATTAATATACCTCTTAAAAATCCATTTTAGAAGGTCTAACCTACAGACTTTTTTACAATAGAAGCCTTATTTTGCTACCAAATAGAGAGAACTCCTTTGAAGAATTCACCGGGCGTTTTCAAATAGTAAATGAGAAAAAGTGGATAGATTTCGACGATATATTTCTACAGGAACACAAGACTATATGCAAATCATTTGATTTTAAATATGAATATTTGACTGGAAAATTTAATTCTATAGAATTTAACGATAGAAGAAGTTATTTGCATTGCGGTAAAACTATCAAAACATTAAGGGATTGCAGATTAAAATTCTATAAAAGTGCTGGGTAATTTAACATAATTTCAATATGAATAAATTAATAAATGTAAAAGAAAGATAATGAATTTTGATGCTAATTATTTCTTCAAAGATAGATATTCGTACAAAACTGCTCCACTTTTGAAATGTTCAAAGAATTTGATAATAGGTTTGGAACCAAATCATAAAGTGTAAATCTAATAGAAAATGATTTGAAACTAGATCCTCTATGCAAGGGAAAACTATCCTTTAACATAGATAGCGTCTGTTATAGTGGTTTTGTTGAAAGTAAGAAGGTATCAATAACAGAAATGGAAGAGAGATGTAGAAAGGAAAATTCGACATTAGCAGATTTCCCGGGAGGAAATATTGAAACCATGATGATATTGAAATCGTTTATCTTTTCATTTTTAACAAATAAATCCAAATTTCATCGCCTCTTTCATCTGTTTTACAGTTAAGTTCAAATTATATGTCATTCAAAATTCTATTATAAAAAATGCAAAATAAACTTTCCTCTGTTTTTTAAAATTTAGAATTAAAAACTTTAACTAAAAATGAACAAAATATTTTCGTTACACCTTCAAACATGCCTTTTTCATTTATTTCAAGATTACAAATAGAGGAGAAATTGGTAAATTTTTCAATTTCATTTTGAACATTTTCCGTTCAATTCAAAAATAATTTGTACGTAAAATATATGTTTATCGTTTTTCTTAGCATCATGAAATTGATTCTGAAAAGAGATTATTCGATACAGACAATTTGATGGAGTTAAGTAAAATAATTCAAAATTTAGAAAATTCTTTTGGAGATTGCGTTCAATTGAGTTATGTTAGTACTGTATACTTCAAAAAAGTCATTGTATTTTCATTCTGTAATACATTATAGTTGGTTGAAAGTTCATACACTTTCACTAGAATGATTAGAGGTATATACTTTGATAAAAGATCGACGTTTAAAATTCGTTTTAGACCTAATTGTCCTTCTCTTTTAGGTATTCATCTCTCAAATATTGATTGCTCCACAGGAAAAGCTAGATATTACTTCTGTCAGAAAATTTTATGTTGGCTTTTTTTAATTTTGGATGCAGAACGAAACGTCCTCAATTTTACCCCAAACCTAACGTAACTCCCTCAGGGACGTTTTGTTCTAGTATCTCTTTAATTTCTTTGCAAATTACACTTAAAGCTAATATGTTGCTATGAAATACAGATTCAGATTATCCTTCTCTTATCAGTTTGAGCACAAGCACTACAGCTCCATTTCAAAATAATACATATTTTTGTCAAAAAAGTGAAACTTACATAAATATTATATACGTTTGTGACAGGTATCCGGACTGTCCCCTTTCCGAAGACGAAGGTGGCCATTGCCAATATAGTGGGAAGGAAAAATTCCACTGTTTGCTTGAAAATTTCAGTGTATCTTATAAATTGCTGTGTAATTTTGTCAATGATTGTCCTGATGAATCTGATGAGAAATTTTGTGGTAAATCAAATTATATTCTCATTACAAAAACAATAAAAACGTTTTTATTCCCATAGAAAGAGCATCCTGTGAAACAAAGGAAAGGCATGTATATTTCTTTTCATATTCATTATTACGCTAAAGACTAATTAAGCATCTTCGGAAATTATCTGATACTTTTGTATATAATAGTGCATGCAATAACAAACAATGCATTCAAACAAACTACGTTTGCAATAACAACAAGAATTGCTTTGATTCAAGTGATGAAATATGCAATAACGTAAACGCTATTCATACTAAATTTAAAAAACGTAAAAATCAAAAACACTATTCAAATATTGATATTTTAAAATATTGATTTTAAAAATAAGACTGCCGACTTTCAACACAAGTTCCATGTCAGAAATCATGTATAACAAAGCAAAAAAAATGTAATCTCAGACCTGATTGTCCAAAGGGAGAAGATGAAGACACCTACCAATGTGAAAATTTCCTTTATCCTAATAGAAAACAATTATTTAATAACTACAAATGCCAGCTTCAGTTTGACTCATTGGGAATCCTTTTAACAAATCCACAATTTCCCCATTATGATCTAATCAAATGCAATAAAACTACATGCCAACCAGGACAGTTCTTATGTACATTTTATAAATTTTGCATATCAATTGAACAAGTTTGCGATGGAATTAATCATTGCATTCATAATGAAGATGAAATGATTTGTGGTAAGATCATAGATGACAACACAAAATATCTTTCTCATACCTTTCCCAGCATTAACAATATCTTTAAATTTATCGATTTCTATTACGACAAATGTTTCATGGGGAGCATAAATTTTCATTAAACATGAATTTTTCTAGATGAAATCTACACAAAAGGATTCTTTAAATGCAGAAATGAAACAAAAGCAATTTTACCCAGCAAAGTCTGTGATGGAATAGTAAACTGTTTCTATGGAAGTGATGAACTCTCCTGCAACCAAATCAACGTATCTAACTATTCTTTTTGCCGAACTACTTTAGCAACAGAAATGTTCTGTCAAATGCAAATAAAAAACAAAAGAATTTCAGACAACCAAACTTTTCACATAGCAAATGTTCCACATATTAAAAAACTTCAAATTTATGGATTGATGAATTTAAAAGTGAGTGAAAAACAGTTTCAGATTACTTCTTTGTCCATAGAAGACAATTTTCAAAGGAATATCTTTGTTCATTTACAATTCTTTCCCAATCTGCTGGCTTTGACTTTAAAATCAAACAAACTAACATTTAGAAACGATTTCAGTAGAACATTACTTCTACTTCAATATCTCGATCTTTCCAGTAACAGATTTACAAACTTTTCTATCTTGGAGAAATTTCAAAGTCACGATTTGAGATATTTGGATTTTTCAAACAATCCACTTCAAAATTTCAATCATAACATGAAACATTTTCGGAAATTAAACATTTTGAAAATAACAAATTGTTATATTTCAAATATTCAACCAGTTTTCTTTAAATATTTCACCAAACTGGAAAGGTTATACTTGAATGGAACTGAATTTCCTTCAAAGCAAAGTATGACGATTGTTCGACAGCTGCATCGAATAAAGATGATCTTTAACGAATTCTACAAACTGTGCTGTTTAACCTGGAAATTGTTTGGCAATCACATCATTTGTAAACCGTCTACATCATTGTACAACACTTGTTCTAGTCTCCTCAGTAGTTTGCCTATTCGTCTCTTGTATTGGATCAATGGACTTTTTGGGTTAATTGGAAATGTGTTTTCAATATTTCTGCTGTTCAAGTCGAAGAGTCAATCGACTGCATTTAGATTATCATTAATTTTAAGTGATAGTCTTACATCACTGTATGTTGTTACAATAGCCATTGCAGACGCCTACTTTAAAGATAAATATTTGGAAAATGATGAAAGATGGCGAAATAGTGTGCTTTGTCAAATTATTGGAACAAGCATGTCATTTTCCCTACTCTTGTCCACCCTGAGTTTGTTTCTTTTGACATTTGAGCGGTTCCAAGCAATAGTTGTGCCTTTTTCTTCATTGAAAATTCAACATTATAAAAGAGTGATCATTCCAATTTCATTTCTATTGTCGAGTATTTTGGCAACACTTCCATTTGGTTTTTATAAAGTATAAGTAAAAAACAGACATTCCTTTGACTGTAAAATGAAAATGAATGTTTCAGAATTTTCACAGAAAATCTCCAATTTGCTTTAATTTGCATATAACAAGTGAGAAAAGCGCAGGTTGGCTGTATTCATTTTTCGTTTTCGGTATTTTACTGTTTGTGTTGAGCGCCACAATTAGCGTTCTTTATATGATGATTGTGAAAACTGTCAAAAAGTCTTTTGTAAGGTTTAATAAGAGTAAAAGGGATAAGGATAAATTGGATAAGGTCATGAAGACTGTATTTTTGATAATAATGACAAACTTGATATGTTGGTTTCCAATTTCACTTCTCGGTTTGTAGAATATTCATCATTGAAAATGCTAAAGCGTCACATTTTGAACAGGAATTTTGTCAGTCTTTGTCGAAATCCACATCAGTAGGAATATCTATTCAGTTATTGTTGCTGTGTTTCTGCCAATAAATGCTCTTCTCAATCCTCTGATCTATTCTTACAGTGACATAAAACTTTTAATGCAAGTTAAGGCAGAAAAAAAAGAGGAAGAACAGTTAAGTGATAATTCATTCTATTTTAGTGTAACTATTGTATTTAACCAAGTTTTCCATGTGTCAACAGAAGAAATATAATTAGCAATGCAGCATATCAGATTCGACAGCAAAGTAAGATTAACTGGTGTTTTTTATTTGTAATTTGTTTGAGAATAAATGGTTTTTAGTGATACATTTTGTTGAAAATTCAAAAAAGAATAGAATTTATTTGAAAGAATTGAGTGGAAATTGTGAAAAATTGACATTACATAAAAAGTTTTTCGAAAATTTGCTATATTTAAAGATCATCAAGGACGTAATTGAAGCTTTAAAGTTTTGTCATGATCATAAAATGAAGTATATAGATGGATTTACCATACATGACATTTACTATGATGTAAGGAAAATAACAATTTTTTCTACATTCTTTTATTATAAAGGCAACTTTTCTTACTGTTCTTGAGAATTTCATCTTGATTATAGTAATTGTTGTATTGTGATATATTTTAATTTAAATGGTTTGTAAAAATTTTTGAGTTTGTAAATATGTTGTAGGTGGTATTTCTGTGGTTTTGAACTGTGTAAAAGAGAGGTAGTTGTGGGTTTAGAGAAAAATCTCTAATTGATTGATTTCTTCAGTCGGGTAGAACTAAATTTTAGGTTGTGTCAGAAGGTTTTAAAAAGAAAATATTTGATTTTCTTCAATCATTGTCTTCTTTTCGTAATTTGCTTTTATCAAACCTTTTCTTTCAGATTGATAAAAATGTCTTTTTCCTAACTTGGAGAAAATTGTCGATTATGGAAGAAGGTAGAGAAAATAAAGATATATTTTCATTTGGACTGCTAACAAGAACCATTCTGCAAAAGAAACAATTGTATAAAAATGTGTTAGAGTCTTGATGCATAATCATAAACATTGTATTTTTTTTTATTAAAAATAGTACAAGAAAACTTTTACTCAGTTTTTTTTGTTTGCAATGAACATAACACTCTTAAATAATATGGTTGACAACTTTTTCATAAAGTGTTCTGTATAAGATAACGGACAAAATAATCCGGACACTGTAAATTCTGATATTCAGATAAGACGGGTCGGGCGCGAATGCACCTGTTAGTAAATATTTCCAACCCTGAAAACACTTTAGAAAAGGGTTAGTTTGAAAATTTGATTGGATTTATTGTTAGAGGTACTTCAATTTAGGCTTAGGGAATATAAATAACACAAATATTACACTCAATTTTAGATATATTGAGGTAGGCTTCAACCCTCGAAATAAGACGTGTTTAAGCAACACAATTTTTTCAATCAATTTACTTTTTAAAGTTAAGTTTCTTAATTATTTCCTATATTAATTATATAAGATAATATTTGTTCTATTGTTTAATTATAGCATAGAGTAAAGATGTCAGGATTTCGTAATAAAGAAATTTACTAAGTGGGAAAGGTTAGGACAACAGCAAGAACTTTGGGAATGGCACCGTCAACAGTCAGAGATATTTAAACATATGAGCCACTAGAACAAGAGAGTAAGGCTCTTTACAGAAAGAGGCATAAACAGGATGAAAGACATTGTAAAGAAACTTAAAAGAAACGAGGAAAGGTGAAAGTAGCAAAGATATTAAAGGAATTAGAAGTAGATGTGAGCCTCAAAGCAATTCAGAATCAGCTGAAAAGACTAAATATGAAATATAAAAAAGGAAGAAAAAAAGCAAGAAAAAAAGTTGATTCCGTATCCGAGGATTGCAAAAGAAGAAAATATTGTGCACTTAGAAATATCAACATAATAATATTTAGACTTTAGATATTATAGAACTGTAGAAAGGCTTTTATTTCGTAGCAATTATAATGGTGAAAGTTTAGAAACACATTTATTTAGTAGAATTAGAGTCTAGAACTTTAAAAAGGCTTTTATTTCGTAGGAAACATATTCTTTGACCAAAACAGATGTTGCATTATGGAATTAACAATGGAACAAACAATATAGAAAAAATGCATGTCAAACTTCTTACATCTTATTCAAAACCAGATTCGGAAGAGGCAGGCTTATTTTTGCAGTGCCACATGTTAGCCAGAAGTGATGCAATAGTTTATCATGTCTTTGTTATATGTTCATTGTGAGACTGTTACATTTCAACTTCGTAATCTTTTGACCAAGTGAACCCAAGCTTTGGTAAATGTATAAAAGGAAATACATTTCCCCAGTTTGGCAGTTCAGTTCTTTAACCATGGATGAACTTGGAAGGTTCTATTTGGACCAGTACTTTGGTAGATCGGTAAATGATTGGAAAGGACGAATACTTTTCAGAAGAAGCAGAAATTCCTACAATTATAATACAACAAAGTACACATTTTATTGTCCTTAAAAGATCAGTGATAATCTATAATGGAGACTTCAGGGTCACAAAAAATATTGGTAGTGACTATATCTTCTAACAGAACAATGCAAACTTCTCGGGAAGAGCCTGATCTCAGTCCTATTGAGAACATGTGGCCATCTGACTAAAAATTAGTCTATGATGGTACGCAATTTGCATCGTCCGGATATTTTTGTCCATTACTTTATACTATTGCTTCAATTTCCACAAGCAGCATAAGATAATATAGAAAGTGTATATAGGCTTAAATTAAGAATTTAAACTCATTTTTTGACATATCAATTAAAAGCAGCTAAAAATAGTAGAAACACAATGCTTTCGACATTTAAATCTCATTGTTTTTTTAAATACAACAATGAAATAAAAATTAAATCTTGGGCATGATTTTACCCTTTTTTTATCATTTCGCCTAACATTTACATTATTTACACTAATTAATCTAAAAATTTGTATAAACATTTTAACAATTTCAAACACAGTCCATTTTTAGAGATGGACAAAAACAATGAAATATTTCTTCTTTTATCTGTTCATTTTATAGTAATGACAACAGCAAACAGAACATCCGAATATGAATTATCTATACAAGATTCAAGCGATGGAAATGTGTATGTTGAAGGAATTTTAAAAGGAAAGATGTTGATAGAAGATGATTGGTTGATTGTGAAATATGAAATATTTACAACTCAACAGAATAATCTATTGTGTGAGAGAATGGGCTACGAGTCCATTCATTCAGTAGCCTTACCCTGTAAGTTGGACACTCTACAATCGGAAGCCATTCAACTATCACTAACAACCGAAAGTTGTTGTAATTTGTAAGTGAAATTCGATAAAATTTTAAATTGAATATAGACATTTATCTTGTTTTTTTTTCAAACAAGTTCAAAAATTGTTTATCATTCAGACAAAGCGTTTTGTATTAAATGCTTCAAGAAGCAGAGCCAATGTAAGAATATTCTATTATTTAAATAGAGTTTGATGGAATTTTTAAATGAATTTGTAGTTATATTTGCTACTGGAAAATCATATAGACTAATTTTAAAGAGAAATAATACTTACTATAAACTCCGTGGTTATTCAACTCAATTCAATCATTTATGCAAAAAATCTCAATTTTTTCTACAAAAGTTTAAACAAAAAATAATAGTTTATGTTGAATACAAGATGGGCAAATTCAATGTCATATTGGATAAAATTCCTAGAGTTTACGTACATAAATCATGTAAATTTAGAGATTTAAAAGGTAAATATCTATTCATAAAATTTTTTGATGAGATTACATTGTAATAGAGTTTAAATTTAAGATTCAATAAAATTTTTAATCAATATTTCAGATGTAAAATTTGAATATTTGGGAGAAAATAAATCCAGAACTTATTCATATTTAAATAAATATAAAAAATATACAAATTATTTTATAGTTTCAAAAACATTTGGAGTTTCTCCTCCAATTTTTTTTCAGCTGAAATCACTAAAACGACTCTGTTTGCAATTGTGCTTTCACTTAAAATCTATTGCCGATCCATTCTCTTGTTTTGAAAAGCCATTTCAATACAAAGTACACGTCTTATTCTGTATGCAAATTAGCACAAATATAAATTTATTAATCAGGAAACGACAGCAATTGCTTGTAAAGATGACATCTATATTAGAAGAAAACCTTCATTCGAAAATATTATTGACACTTGCTTTTATATTGAAGGAACACAGGAATCTGTTAGAGTTATTGAGCCACACTGTCAAAAACCAAGGAAATCGGGTAAGCATTGAGTTAAATTGATGAAAATTGAATAAATATACTCGAAAATGAACATTTTTGATATTGAAATTGGGTTTCAATACCATTTGTCCTATTCTACAATTCGAATATATAATTTTCTCTTTTTAGATGGCATTACCTATAGGTTTTTTCACAAGCCAAGCAACATATTGTTTACGCCAATAGCTAATCAATCATTTGATAGTTTTACTGGCCGTTTTCAAATTATTTGGAAAAATGAATGGATTGATTTTGACCAGATTTTTGATCATGAACATAAAATTATTTGTCAAGAGTTTGGCTTTAAATACGAATATTTTACAGGAAGGTTTATCACTAAAAGTTTGAAATTGAAGAAAAGTTATTTATTGTGTAATCGAAATATATCATCATTAAACCAATGTCAATACAGAGAATACAATAGTTTCGGGTAATTATTGATATTTATATATTTGGATTAATCAACTCATTTTTCAACATTTTTCAACAAAGATATGTAATTCGAAAAGGCCCAATACTAAAATGTTCAAATGAACTGATAACAGGTTGAATAATTGAATAATAAACGCTATCACGTGATGCAAAAACAGAATTTAAAAAATAGATACTCAGTGTAACGGAGAAAAGTCATTTTTAATTGATAACGTCTGCTACAAGTTAATAGTTGAAGATGAAGAGAAATCCCTATCAGAAATGGAGCTTAGATGTAAAAATGAAAATTTAACATTGGCAGATTTTCCAGGAAATGATTTCGAAACTCTACTTTTTTTTAAATCATATATTTCTTATATTTCGTCAAAAACAACAAAATTAAAATTTCTATTTCAATTATTTTATAGTAAAAGAAAAATTTCAAAATGATAAAAATTATTTTGAATGTAAAACTATTTTTCATTTCAGAATTGGAAAGAAAAAAAACAAATAACAATGATATTACTGTAACACCTTCTAAAATACCATTTTCATTCTTTTCAAGGACTCAATTACCCCAAGAAATGGTAAACAATTGTTTCAAAAACTAAATAAATGCTACCAAATTTGACACAAATTCTTAACCCTAACTCTAACCCTAACCGTTATATTTATAATATTGATATATGTATATATTCTCAGTTTAAGGCATTTATCCCCAACCATCCAGATTTTGATGAAGGTGTAATGATGGACGTTAATAATATTATTAAAGGCTTTGAAAGTTCTAAAGGAGATTGTATTGAAAATCTCTATGTTTGTCTTAATATTCTCTAAGACTTTTTTCCATCACATCTTCTATTGTTCCTATAGGTAGTTGATATATCAGAAAATTTACATCAGCCTATAAGAGGTATGTACTACTTTTAAATAAATATCTTCTACATAAACCAGCAGCGCCATCTATAAGTATATTTTTGAACTATTTGAATTCAGGAATAGCTGCAAGAAATGTAGATTGCTCAATAGTAAGAAAAAACTATTACTTTTGCCAAAGAATCCTATGTTAGCCAATCAAATGATTTTCCGTAATTTATTTCTAAACAAAGTGACTTTGTTCATAATATTTTCAGATTCACTTAATCCTTCAATTTCGAATTTGAATAACAACACGCATATTCTCAAAAACGAGAACTTTTACTTCTGTAAACAAACTGGTACATACATAAATATTCTATATGTTTGTGACAGACATCCCGACTGTCCCTCCTCTGAAGATGAACACGAAAATTGCCATTACGGCATTGAACAAGTATTTAATTGTAAATTCTACAACTATACCATCCATTTCAATTTGCTATGCAACTATATAAAAGATTGTCCAGATGGTTCTGATGAGGAGTTTTGCGGTAAAAACAATAACAATCTTTTATACTCATCTCCTTCATTTATTCTACAAATTATTTGCCTGTAGAAAGATCGATCTGCAAAGAAACAGAAAGGTGAAAATGTTTACTTCACTCTATCTAAATCATAATATCTGCAAATACATTCATTTGAAGAACTTGCCAAAACAAACAATGTATTCCGAAAGAGCAAGTTTGTAACAACAAGAAAAATTGCTTTGATTCAACTGATGAATATTGTTTGAATGAAAATGCCATTGAGGACTATTTTAAACTTAGTAATAGCATATAACAGACTACAAAATTCAAATTCATTTCTATGTAAATTTTTCCCTCTTTTTTACTAGGATGTAGGCCTGGGATGCAAAAATCCTGCCTTACTGGCTGCATAAGATATGAAAAAATGTGTAACTTTAGACAGGATTGTTCAAAAAGGGAAGATGAACAATATGAAATATGTTTTTTTGAATACAATATCTACCATTCACAATTAAAACACAATGAATGCGAGTTAAAATATGACTCATTGGGAATCCTGCTAACAGATCCACATTTTCCTTTTAAGGAGCTCTCTAACTGCAATAACTCTACTTGTGAACCAGGACAGTTCTTATGTACATTTTATAAATTTTGCATATCAATTGAACAAGTTTGCGATGGAATTAATCATTGCATTCATAATGAAGATGAAATGATTTGTGGTAAGATCATAGATGACAACACAAAATATCTTTCTCATATCTTTCCCAGTATTAACAATATCTTTAAATTTATCGATTTCTATTACGACAAATGTTTCATGGGGAGAATAAATTTTCATTAAACATGAATTTTTCTAGATGAAATCTACACAAAAGGATTCTTTAAATGCAGAAATGAAACAAAAGCAATTTTACCCAGCAAAGTCTGTGATGGAATAGTAAACTGTTTCTATGGAAGTGATGAACTCTCCTGCAACCAAATCAACGTATCTAACTATTCTTTTTGCCAAACTACTTTAGCAACAGAAATGTTTTGTCAAATGCAAATAAAAAACAAAAGAATTTCAGACAACCAAACTTTTCACATAGCAAATGTTCCACATATTAAAAAACTTCAAATTTATGGATTGATGAATTTAAAAGTGAGTGAAAAACAGTTTCAGATTACTTCTTTGTCCATAGAAGACAATTTTCAAAGGAATATCTTTGTTCATTTACAATTCTTTCCCAATTTGCTGGCTTTGACTTTAAAATCAAACAAACTAACATTTAGAAACGATTTCAGTAGAACATTACTTCTACTTCAATATCTCGATCTTTCCAGTAACAGATTTACAAACTTTTCCATCTTGGAGAAATTTCAAAGTCACGATTTGAGATATTTGGATTTTTCAAACAATCCACTTCAAAATTTCAATCATAACATGAAACATTTTCGGAAATTAAACATTTTGAAAATAACAAATTGTTATATTTCAAATATTCAACCAGTTTTCTTTAAATATTTCACCAAACTGGAAAGATTATACTTGAATGGAACTGAATTTCCTTCAAAGCAAAGTATGACGATTGTTCGACAGCTGCATCGAATAAAGATGATCTTTAACGAATTCTACAAACTGTGCTGTTTAACCTGGAAATTGTTTGGCAATCACATCATTTGTAAACCGTCTACATCATTGTACAACACTTGTTCCAGTCTCCTCAGTAGTTTGCCTATTCGTCTCTTGTATTGGATCAATGGACTTTTTGGGTTAATTGGAAATGTGTTTTCAATATTTCTGCTGTTCAAGTCGAAGAGTCAATCGACTGCATTTAGATTATCATTAATTTTAAGTGATAGCCTTACATCACTGTATGTTGTTACAATAGCCATTGCAGATGCCTACTTTAAAGATAAATATTTGGAAAATGATGAAAGATGGCGAAATAGTGTGCTTTGTCAAATTATTGGAACAAGCATGTCATTTTCCCTACTCTTGTCTACCCTGAGTTTGTTTCTTTTGACATTTGAGCGGTTCCAAGCAATAGTTGTGCCTTTTTCTTCATTGAAAATTCAACATTATAAAAGAGTGACCATTCCAATTTCATTTCTATTGTCGAGTATTTTGGCAACACTTCCATTTGGTTTTTATAAAGTATAAGTAAAAAACAGACGTTCCTTTGACTGTAAAATGAAAATGAATGTTTCAGAATTTTCACAGAAAATCTCCAATTTGCTTTAATTTGCATATAACAAGTGAGAAAAGTGCAGGTTGGCTGTATTCATTTTTCGTTTTCGGTATTTTGCTGTTTGTGTTGAGCGCCACAATTAGCGTTCTTTATATGATAATTGTGAAAACTGTCAAAAAGTCTTTTGTAAGGTTTAATAAGAGTAAAAGGGATAAGGATAAATTGGATAAGGTCATGAAGACTGTGTTTTTGATAATAATGACAAACTTGATATGTTGGTTTCCAATTTCACTTCTCGGTTTGTAGAATATTCATCATTGAAAATGCTAAAGCGTCACATTTTGAACAGGAATTTTGTCAGTCTTTGTCGAAATCCACATCAGTAGGAATATCTATTCAGTTATTGTTGCTGTGTTTCTGCCAATAAATGCTCTTCTCAATCCTCTGATCTATTCTTACAGTGACATAAAACTTTTAATGCAAGTTAAGGCAGAAAAAAAAGAGGAAGAACAGTTAAGTGATAATTCATTCTATTTTAGTGTAACTATTGTATTTAACCAATTTTTTCCTATGTTATCAGAAGAAATATAATTAGCAATGCAGCATATCAGACTCGACTGCAAAGTAACGTTTTTGAAATATCTTGTATTACTGATAAGTTCAATTAGTTATTGATGTGTTATTGAAAATTTTGCAGTGTTAAATTTTATCGAAGAATCAAGAGCCAATAAAATTTATCAAGACGAATTGACTGATTATTTTGAACCATTTCTCTTTAACATTGATTATTTTGAGAGAATGTACGATATGAAAGTTATTGCGGACATAATCTGTGGAATTCAATATTGTCATGAACATCAATTGTCATTTGGGAAAGAACTGACGTTGAATGACATATTTCATGATGTAAGAGTATTTATAAAGTCAAGTTTATAATATGACTAATGCAAACGGCTTGTTTTTTTAGAGAAATAATGACGTAGTTTGTATAAAACCAAAAAATTTTGTCATATTAACCGTAGAAGTAGAAAAGAGGGATATCTATTCATTTGGTAATATATTAAAGAAAATTTTACAAATGAAGCATATCCACAAATGTTGAGTGTTTTATTATGTAAAATATGAATGGTTTACTGTTTATCGAACTCATCCTTCTCCCTATTGTATTATCTCCAAATGAGAATATTTTTTTAATATATTTCGACTGTGTATAGATGAGCAACTGTCAAATTGACCGGTTGATGAATAACCAATTTCGCAGCATGTCTTTGATAATCCGTCCACCATTCCCTTATTTCTTATAGATTGTACTTTGAACAACTTGATAAGAATTTAAAATTGGTTTCTCAGTCAGATGACAAAACTTCAAATGAATAAAATTTAAACTGTCCGATGGTTGAATTAATCCATCAAAAGTCAATAATAATCCATTTCCCATTTCTTTATTCAGAATACATTGACTTTTTTAACAAGTTGACCGCAAATTTTCTATTTTGAGACTGAAACTAGTCCAGATTTGCAATGGTAGAAATTGATATATTTAGGCTGTTTGTTAATTGAACAAGTCCATTGCAAAATCTTGGATATTCCAGTTTTTTAGAAGGAAAAGAAGCCCAGTGTATATTTTTTATCCTCGTCCCAAATTTAGGCCTCAACTGTAAACTAATCAGTTATTTATTACTCATTGTTTTTTATCATTGAGACATCATCGTTTTGGTTATTGAAACAACTGTGAAATGATCAGGAGATTATTAAGTACTCATAGTCAATTGTTAATTTGGTATTATATTTTAGCCAATGACTAATCTTTATATGTTGATCTTGGGTTAAATGACAATTGTGAATACCAATATACTTTAAAGAGTTTAAAGACTGAACGAGACCATTGCAGACTTGCGATAATCCATTTCCGGTTTCCTCATTATTACTTAGAAGTATGCTCTCTATTCTAGAACAATTTTTTAGCATATTTCCAATATTTATGCATTGTTTCTCATTTAGATTACAATTTGAAATGTTAATATATTTTAACGTATAGGATGAATGATAGAGCTCATCACAAATCTTTGATAATCCTTTTCCCATTTCTCTATTTAAGCACAGTTCAATTTTTTCAATTTTTGAACAGTTTTTCAACAAATTTCCGATAGTTATGCATTGATTTTCACTTAGGTTACAATCTCTAAGATGAATATGCCTTAAAGAATTCGATGATGGAACAAGTCCAGAACAGATTTCTGCTAATCCATTTCCCATTCCTTTATTCTCACTAAGATCAATTTTTTCTATATAAATACATCCGGTCAGCATATGACCAATTTGTCTACATAGAGTTTCAGTTAGGTTGCACTCCCTAAAGTTGAGAAATATTAGGGTTTTGAAAGAACTAGACAGTCCATTGCAAATATCTGACAATCCATTTCCCATGTTTGTATTACAACTCAAGTTTATCATTTCTATTCTTGAACACTTTTTCAACAATTTTCCAATAGCTGCTGATTGACTTTCAGTTAGGTTACATTCTCTTAAAATGATGTCTTTTAATGTTTTTGACGAGTTGGTGAGTCCTTCAAACAGATTTAAAATTCCATTTCCCATTCCCTTATTTCCACTTAGATTGATTGTTTCTATTTTAGAGCATTTTTTCAACATATTTCCAATGCTTATCGATTGATTTTCACTTAGATTACATTCTCTTAAATTGACGTTCTTTAAATTATTTGACGATTCAACAAGTCCATCGCTAATCCTCAATAATCCATCTCCCATTTCCTTATTTTGAGCTAAATATATTGTTTCTATTTTAGGGCAATTTTGTAAGATTTCTCCAATGCTTGTAGCTTGATTTTCAGTTAGACAACACCATACGAAATAAATACGTTGTAGAGTGTTTGCGGATTGGACGAGTCCATTGCAAATTTGGGATAATCCACTTCTCATATCTTTATTCAAACTTAAATCAATAGATTCTATATTAGTACAATTTTTTAACAAATTCCCTAAATATATAGACTGATCTTTGGTTAGAGAACACCAACTTAAATCGATATACTTTAAACTATTAGACGATTGAGCTAATCCGCAGCAAATTTGCGATAATCCATCTCCCATTTCTTCATTTTCACTCAAATTTATTGTTACTATTTTATGGCAATTTTTGAGTAAATTTCCTATGTTTTTAGTATGGTTCTCATTCAAATGACAATAATAGAAGTTAATATGCTGTAAAGTACTGGACGATTTAAGGAGTGCATCGCAAATCTTAGATAATCCACTCTTTCTGCAAACAGAGCAAACAGTCTCACAATCATCCGAACGTAATTCTTGTTTTCGACATTTTAGGCAATATTTATGTTGACATGGTAGTATTCTCGTATCCTTGGCAACTGCAGTCGCTAAACAATTTGAACATTTTAGGCCATTTTCATCAAAATAGTACACTTTCTTAGACATGTTTTCATATATATACTTGTATATGTTTACTCGTTGAAAAGCGTCGACAAAATTTGATAGTTTAAACTACAATTACTGATAGAATGCTAAAACACTAAATCATAGTTATAACCACAACATTAAGGTTTTTCCATAGTTATAACCACCAGTTAAAAGCTTCTTCTTACAGTCTACTTTCATAGTGATGATTATCAATATTATAATTGAAACAGTTTCTATGGTTACAGTGTTATTTTATCAAAACTTTATTCTTTCTAAAAGAAAATTATACGAATTTTATTCTTTTTACTAATAGTAGTTAAAGCACAACTAGCGACTTCTGGTGTTTACTATCGATATTATCATTGTATATTTAGGCCTATGCTTTATTATGATAAAATTAATCTTATCCTTGTCAATTGTCAGTTTTCTCATTCTCATTCTTCAAATACATGAGCATTGCTTCCCTCTCGTCCAATAGAAAAGTCTGTTCCAATTCAATGCCCCTACTGCTTCTGCAATCCGGACATCTTATAGTACAGCAATACCATAATAAATGGATAACATTTAGAGGAGGTGGGAGAAAAGGTTTCCTAATATATTCATTTATCAATTCAAATCTTTGATACTTGTAAATGATTTCAGATTCACTTTCAACTTTTTCATATGTACTCGAAAACATGGCAATTAGTAGATTCAGTAGTAGAATATTAACAATCACCATATATATGGCGAATAGGATGAGAGCTAGCCACGATTTTTCAGGGCAAGAATTATTACAATCTTGGTTATTTCCCTCAATATCGTCCAAGAAAAGTTCACCATACATTTGCCAATAGGGTTTATAGATAATATTCTTTAAGAGATTCCAATCTAATGATGCATTAGGATGCCTTAATCCTTGACTTACTACGCCATACGACAGCATGAATATGGTGAGAATGACCATGAATTGAAATAGGTTTTTAAGCATTTTTTGAACCATAATCAGTTTCGGACCAGTTACCTCAGATACATAGCAAATTTGAAGTAGTCCTATATAGAAGCATCCTAATGACAGGCAGAAAAAATTCCTAACCCATGAAAATCGTTCCAACGGAAGAGAAATTCTAAGGATAAACGCCAATGTAAACATAAAGTAGGAAGAACAATCCAAAATATTCCAAGAATCTTTAAAATATTCCATTTTCATTGTTAAAACCTGAATAACAAAGATTTGATTTAAAAATTACAATTGTTCTCTTTTTTACATTTTCGTCATACTTGATAAATTTCCTCTAAAATCAAGCTAAATACCCATATTGTGGTCAATATTTCCAATATACTAGGTCTACTCTTCTCTGTCCAAGGGTGAAGATCAGTTAATACAAAACAAGTGAAACATCCAATAAAAATCAAGTTAGTTATCTAATAATAAAAATAATATTAACAATAGATGAAAGAATTGTTTAAAAAGAAAAAGAAACAAACCATTCTTAACCAAAATTTAACTATTGGAGCATAGAAGAAGAGTAATAATTTACTGTTGTTAAAACAACAGCGTTTCAATCTACTACCATCTTGTTCTATGCCTTTGAATGATAGTAAATATTTTACAAAAATTGGAGAGAAAACTGGTAATAAGAGGCATAAGAGTAGTGTTAAAAGTATTTTAAATGTTGAATTATCATAATGAATCTTTCCAATCCACATTTCACTTAATAAAGTCTGACAAGCAGGATTTGAAATAAAAAATTTAGAATTTGTTGCCTTTGAAAGATCCAAAACTGATTGAGTACCCCATTGAAGTTTTGGAATTGCTAATAGGTTATGAGCAGTTTCTCTACTAGTTTTATAAACTTGTTCCAATGTTCCATAAGACCTTTTTTCCCATATATCCGACCAATATTTTAAATTATCCGCCATGTTGATTTCGTGATGTTTTCTTGCAGTTGTTGACAAACTTAGCAATATACCTTTTGATAGTAAACCCAACATTACAACGCTCTTTTTCCCTTCTCTCCACAAGACGTAAGCAATATCTTGATGATTATACAAAATAGCCCAATTAAAGATGGCCAATGGTATATCAAGATGATTGAAGATGACGCACCGTTCAAAATTCAAAAATTGATTTCTATCAATTATATATTTAGTGTACAAGCGTTTCAAATCTTGTTTAAGGAATTGTTGGCCCTGAAATTCCGTAGAAGATATTTCATTTGTAAAATTTTTCAACAGAAATGAATGAGAAGATTTCTTCCTTGACATCATTTTATACAATTTAACAATGTCATCACAACTAGTGATTAGTTTATAAAAGTAACCGGATGTTAGATATTCTTCAACAATTAGAGAATTATTCCCAATTAGGGAATATAAGAGAAGTTTCTTTTGTTTCTCTTCATTCGAAGTTGCTCGTATGTAGTTTTTAGCTTGTTCTCTATCCTTTATAAAATCAACTGTTTCAAATAATAAACATAAATTTAACTTTCTTTCTGTGGTTTCTATATCATTCATAAAGAAATGATTATATAATGAATCTTTTAATTGAATTATGGAATAACTTTCGTTAAAATCAACTAAATATTCCTTTTTTGAAAGGATCCTTTTTAAATTGCTATAACATTCGTTCACCTTTTCGTCATTATTCCCTAAACTGGAAAATGTTTCCTTAATTCTATTTAACCAAAATTCTTTATCTAAATCCTCTTCCCTACTTTTCAAATTAGTTTGTTGGTCGAAACAAAACTGCGAAATTAGCTTAGCAGCGCCATCTAGTCCTGGAAATACTATAATTGTTTCATTTTTTTCCAACCTAAGTAATACGTCTTTGATATCATTTTCGTCTCCTTTAGTTAAAAAGTAAACTTTGGGTACTTTTTCCAAAGGATCTATCATATCAATTGAATTTCTGACTTCTTGGACATTTTTAAGTGCAATAACATCCGGTCCTGTTACAAATTCGTGATGAAAATATCGAAGACAGTTCCTGGAGCTATCAATGCAAATTACTGCGGATGTATCAAATTCACAGAAAGCATTATCCAGCGAGAGTTTATCAACCAAATATAAATTTGACTTATCTAAATTACTCTCCAAAATCCAAGGATCCAAAGGAAGGAAGATGTGTTTGAAAATTGCGAAAAAATGGTCATAGTAATCCAGATCCCTTGACAAATGGCTGAAAGATATCAATAACTTCGGTTTTGTTCTATTTATCATTGAGAGAAATTGATCATTATGACACAAGTAGTCAATATCGCTCTCTAAAAATAGACTCACCCTTTGGAAGTTATTTATAATTGCAAAACTAACTCTATAAATGAGATCAAATATAGATTTTATTCTTAAATCTTCATCAAAGTGATACATCAGCAAAAAATCAGAGTTTTGTTCAATTTTTCTTAGAGTACTAGTCATATCATTCGAAAGATTATAATCTTCTATATTTCTACTTTTATATACACAATTTTGCAACAATTCTAAACCAAATTTGCAAGTATTTTCAAATAGAATGACTGGTTCTTTGTTATTTAACGCTGCTCCAATTGTTTGTAAAGTTTCTCTATTAGTTCCGATAACGAACCGTACTACGGGGATATTATTACCATAGAGGCGTTTTATCTCTTGAACGATATGACTTTGAAAGTCGGTAAGCGTCTCTTTTGACAGAGCATCGTGAAAAACGTAAAAATCTTGATAGCAATTGAGCAACGTCTCCCTAGAAATATCATACTTAATAAAAGACTTATCAAGTTTGAAGTTTGAATTCCATTCAGTTAATCCTATGCAGAATATTCGTTGTTCTTCACTAATAGAATTATATTCATGAACAATATCAGTAATCAATTCTGTCACTTCTCCATTTAAACCATCAGTTATGATTATTGGATTAAAGAGGTTAAAAATTAATTTAACGTCCTTTTTCAAGCGATTTTTAACATCTTGTTCAAAAAATAAATTATGAATCGTATTATTCAATTTAATAATTAAATGAGGTTTGAATTTTTCAAAATGTGATAAATCCTCTTTGGAAAATTCTTGAAAATTTTCTTTTAATATTCTTTTAAACGGTATTGACTTGTCAATTTGTTGATCATTTTCAAAAAATTCCACTTGCCCTTCCAGTACAATTTGCTAGAAATAAATTCAATATTAGATAAATTATTTGTATTCAGTATCTATTTTCATAACTATGAAGGTAACAGATTGTTAATATCATTCTAAAAGTCAGCTTTTTGCTGATGGGGTCACGTGTTCATATTATTTTAACAACTATAATACAAAATTCATTAAATTTCTACTCTAATTCGTGACAAAGAAATTTAGTGATAACCAAATAAAATCATAGCTATACCCCTCTCCTGGCTATTACAGATACAGTCACAGACAAAATCTTTCGTGCTATCTCTTTAGGCATGTTTTACTAATTTTATCCAATTCACAAAATTGTGAAGGAGAGGGTAGCAGAGTGGAGAACCTACAAGAGATCTCTGAATTATCCGAATCTGAGATGCAGCAGAGAGGTGAGTGGGGTATCCTCCATCAAAATACAAGCAGGGTTAAATAAATATTTGTAAATGGCCACTGCAAAGAACAATGAACAAAACTGGGTGCCAAAAAAATTAAAGAACACCTTCCATCATGCAGGAGAAGTAGGATGTTAACATGTGCTTCAATTGGATACAAGAGTGTACTAATTAGAAAATAGTTATACTCTCAAATGGATGTAGGTTTTCCCTTACTGGGCCTGATAATATTCAGACCTGGAGAAACTGTAATGAATTTCCATTGTTTTTGTTTATGAAACATAGCTACTTTGATTAGTTAAGAGGATAAAATTAATAAAAAATGCCAAAAATAGGAATCGCACGAAAAATGTCCTCTGTGACAGTTTACATATATTACTCTATTATACTTGAATAGAGTGGTTACAAGCAAAACATAGCTATCAGTGTAGACTAAAAAAGAGACAGATTATTATTCCTATAATAAGAAATAAATAGAGAAAAAAGGAGTTTCGAATACCTTTTTATCCTGCATTACGTCTAGGGATTGGGACTTTTACAATTTTTAATCGACTAGTTCACTATGACTGACAATTGATACAAGAACATGGCGGCGTAGTATGAAATATTTATAAATGGGAGAATATATCAGCCTACATGTAATAAATATGATAAATGTTTGTTAGCTTTGCTTATACAAGTGAAAGTATACATAATTTAATAATTGTACTCAATGCTCTGTTAATCTAACCTGATTAATAACAATGTAATATGTTTCTATAGGCTGAATTAACCATTTTAACCTTATAGACCAGAATATAGTTAATCTGAACAATAATACAGACATAGACAGACATCTTTTATAATTCCAAGTATGTATGAAACATTGGCTTTGTTTAAAAAATCCCTTGAACAGCTTGAAACATTTTTTTTAATAGTTGACAATTCCGTTCTAGATTTTGTGATTTATTATTAATAGTTGATAAGACACCAGAATTTTGCAGACATAGTCTTAAAAGGTCGGAAAAAAAATTAAATATTTTGTTGTAAAAACATTAATTAGTCAAAAAAAATTCCTATGTAGTCAAGTCAAATTCATTATTGATTATAGAACTGATGATTTTCTAAATAGATATATAAATAGAACTGTCAATTTGGATAATAGTTCATTATTATTCCTTGGGAAAGATAATATTCAAAATTGAAAATGTTATGTTTCTGTGATGAACTAGATGGGTTTTTTGGTTCATGATTCACGAATCAGTACACGGAATACGAATCTCTTGTTTTGTGTTCTTGTTCTGGTTTATGTCCTAATAACGGGTTAAGAATATAAGAAAGCGGGTGAATAGATGAGTAGGGGATTTTATGCGTTGAGGTTACAATGGAAAAAAAATAAATTATGACGGATAGCTATTGCAGCATATCTGCAATATTTAATTCTAATAATCTTTAGGCCCAAGTCATGTTTTCTTGTAAAAGAAATATAAACTGGTACATATTTAAAAACTTATACTGTTGATTTGTTCATTAGCTAACATGTATTCTTTTCAAAAACACAAACATCTCCCCCAGTAAATGAACCAATAAGATCCAGATCAGGAGATGTTGGTGAATTGAATAAACAGCAAGTTTTATTAAGGAAATTATAAGAGAATAGATCCATTGAAAGTTTTTTCCAGTTTGTTATGCAATCCTCTATAGTTTGTTTCTCAATGATTTTATTACAAACTGATAAATTAGGAGTTTTATGTTTTTTTAAGATTCCAATTTTTTTAGAGCATTTTTTTTTATTTTTAAAAGTGTCTTCGCCTGAAAAGAATGTTTGAAAGTAGTCAAAAATATAATGAAAAAATTATTAATTTTACTTGGTTCGATTGGTGAAAATAATTGAATTTCACAAATGTCAACATCATTTAAAAAATCAACAATTTCAATGCGAACTAGATCTCCAATTATCGCTTGGAAACAATTGATTTCAATAAGATAATTAACAGCTACCAATGTTGTAAAATTTGCACAATTTATCCAGTTTGATGAGTCATCGCTTTGATTACCAACAAATATATTTAAACTTTTAAAATCTGAGAAAAAAATCAATTAGAGGAAAAATGTTGAAATATTTAAATTTTTGTTACTATTTATAGAATCCTGTCTTGGTTGAATAAGAATTTGTTGAACAGCAGAATATTTATGAAAAGTTATAGTTAAGGAATCCTGATTTGAAAATGATAATCTTACACATGAAGATTCTGATGCAAAATCTCCGTCAATAACTTTTAAAGGACTTCTACCTGGTTGAAAGATATTTTTTTCAATTTCTTTATTAAAATAAACTTCATTTAATAGAATTTTGTAAAGCGATTTTTCGTTTTTAATTAATTTTCCAAAAGTATAAAATTCATAGATTTCAATTCGTTTATTTCTTGAATTTTTTACTAGAACAAATCGACCAATATTTTCTATTATTGAACAATTCCAAATAACAATTTTTCCATATTCCAAATGATATATTGATGTTATTTCTTCACAATCCGAAGCAGTTATTGAATCTTCTTCATTTATCTTCGATCTTTCTTGGAAAAATTTGTAATCATTAAAGTATCTTTCAACATCTGTAACTGTTTTTTTTTTTTAAGAAATTATTTTAGAAAATTGCTCTTGTATAGGCCTAAATTTACCATCATCTCTCGCTCTCATTTTCACACCAACGTACTCAATTTTGTATATGGCTAACAGATCAAAAATCATCCATCCATCTGTTGTTGCTACAGATGCAAATGACGTTTTACTAAAACCGTCTGTTGCGTAATAAGGATAATTTTGATCTTGAACCGACGATAACCATACCGGTTTTCGCTCTGCTAAATTCTTTATATCTGTAAAAAAAAATATGTTCTACCAAAGAAAAGTTGTCTTTGTGTGTGTGTGTTTTTTTTACCTGTAAAATTTTGATATAAACCAAAAACTTCAATTTGAGAAATTGGTAATTCAAAAGGTGATTTAAGAACAACAAACATTGCAAGTAGAACTTGCTCACAAGGTACGAATAGACTATTTTTATTATAACTTGTAGTTTCCCTCAATTCTCGGCATTTCTCATTTGATTTAACGGTTTGCTCTACGTAAAAGTTTCTATTTACGGAGAAAATTTCAAGATCCCAGTATCCAATACCTGAGAAATCAAAACCGTATATTAAATACTTTGCTCCAAGAAAGACAGAAGTCCATGTTGACTTTCCGTGTATTCCCTTAGAATTCGTGTCAGTTAATCCATCTACTGCGTAACCTCCGAAATGTCCATCGTTTTGAACGCTCGACATAAGAACATCCGCTTGAATGGCTAAATTACCTTTTAATCAAAAAGGAAAAAGAAATGAGTTATTGGTATGTATGTGCGTATGTGTCTTTCTTTGTCTAAAATATTAATAATTTACTTGTATATATTTCCAATTCGCAAATTTTCAATAGATTTTCAGATTGTAGCGCAACGTAACGTCCGTGTAAAACGTGTTTTTCACATTCAACTATTAGTTTCTTACTGGTTAAAACCATTTCAGTACCTTTAGAACAATAACTATAATCCGTAGGTGGAAGGATGACGTCATTTGGAGGTTGAGATAATACAAAGATATCAACTGTTTGACTTGATGCTAAAAATTATAAAATGAGAGAATAATTCATTCTTTATTACCCGTTTATTTTAATACAAACTTTGATTATCAGACAAATAAATAATAGTTTTTCTTATGTGAAAATTCTGCGTTAATTCTACAGCAATCCAAACGACAGAATCGCCTAATGATGTATCAGATTTTACAACTGTGCAACCTCCTAAATTCAAATTTGAATTTTTCACACCATCCACCAAATGCTTTTTGCTATGTATTAATGTATTTGTGATTTCTCCGCGAAACGTAATAGGCCTATTCAAGGCTACATTATGCTGTCCAGGAGATAAAGTACCATAGCATAAATTCCTGTACGATTGCGAATTTGGATTGAGGATAAATTTTTTAGATTTTGACCGTTCGCTAACAACTTTCATTGCATTTTCTATATTAGAAATTGACAAACTTTTCATCCAATCTTCCTGATTTTCAAGTAATCCGTATCCGGTTAATGGGCATTTTGTAGATGTTGTCCACAAGTATTCAATACACTGCAATATATGATTAGTTTGTTGGTTAGAACTTCCACAAACTGATTCTTTTTTATCTATTTTGAAACAAATTTTTTGGTGTTTTATTCTTTTTTTATAATTTAAGATTGAATTTAACCTTTAAATATAATAGTATAGTATGTTTTTTCAGTAGTAGAAACTGGTAGAATTGGATAAGCTATAGTTGTTTTACCAGAACAAGAGATAATAGTGTTGTCAATATTATCAAATTCTAATTCAAAAGCTTCACAAAAATTGTCATTTGTACAAGTATTCAAACAATTCAAAGAAGATGTAGGATTCACTGTATTAAAAACATCTGTTCCTGATAGTGTTCCATTTAGAACAAAATACTTTAAACCTACAAAGAAAAAGTTTGACATAAACAAGAAACGCATTTCTTTTAAATTCTATATCCAATCAAATTACCTTCATCACAAATTGAGTAATTAAATGGACTTTGACAAACGCAGACGCCATTTTGGCAATTTCCAACGTTTAAACAATCCTTTTTAGTGGTACAACCAACTGTTTATTGAGTACTAATGAAAAAATTTAAATTAAAAAAAAATATTGTTTTACTTTTACCAGTTAATTGAAAAAATGAGAGGAAAATGTAAAGAATATAAATATTCATTTCAAATGTTATCTTTCTATCTCTCTCTTTTCAGCAGTTAATAAACAAGATAGTGAGCAATATACAGTCAAATCTTCTAACTCTAAATGAATGATATACTATCAAATTTCCTTCATTAGCAATTCATAGATCATTAAGAATAGGGTGAAAGAAATCTATGATATGTTTATTGGATATTTTTTCCTTAGAAAAGAAAGTGAGAAGCTATTGGGAATTATTTATAGATGCCAAAAAGATTTTTAAAATGTTCTTATGTTATGTTTCATTTCAAATAATAGAAAATAAATCGTTTTTGTATAAATATTAACTGCTTATTAATGAACAATGTATTTTGAAGGGTAGAAATTTTATTGAACAGTTTCTAGTTATTTAAAATACTCAACAGGTTTATTGAATTGAACTTATTTATAGAATATTATTTAAAGCCTATTTGGCCTAGCATTGGCCTACTATTACTGTTTTCATTTCTACACTTCCAAGGTAAATGGAATGGAGGAAAAAAAGGAAAAGGCAATTGTTTTGCACTTGCAATAATTCAAAGTTAATATTTTTTTCAAATATATTTGAGTGAATTTCATCTTAATTACAAAAAAAACAGATAAATATGAATTTTTTTTGCCTGATCGTTTATCAGGAGCAATATATAAGGCAGAAGACAAGAGAAAACTGGTAGGGATTATACTTAAACTGAATACATATCATATAAATAACTTATTGTTTGATGTGATAAAAAAAGCTATTGTTGCCAGATATATTGGATTTGAAATAAACAATAAGCAAATATCTTATTACAAATGATCTATCATCAACTTAATTGATCAATTATTGATTAATTTGCACTTGCAAAAGAGTTATCACCTTAATGTATTACAATTAATTAAATTGACACTAAGATCTCTTGTAGGCCTATAATAGCAATAATAATAATAAGTTGAAAATTAATCCAATTGTAATCTCTTATTTTTGAAATACAAGTTATAAATAATGAAGAAAACTATTCAATTGAGATCTACTGACTCAATAGAATAATGTTATTAATATCATTGAATTTATTAAATTAATTATTAAAGTATGTATATTATTATTCTTTGTTGGACTGCTTTCACTTAAACAAATTTAAAGAATTTGAGAAATAAACTTTTATAAAAAATTTGTTATATGAATATGATGGATTGTTTGTTTGTTTTTTTCTTGCGGCCATTTGAAGATATTTTTGCAGAGGATTTTTTACAAATTTGAAAAATAAATAAATTTATATTTTGCAGATTAAATAAATCAAAAATGAATTTAAATGCCAATGTTTTGGAAATTACTTTGAGATAGAAACCTTTATTTGGAAATTGATCAATGTAGGACCTATTGTTATCATTTTCCAAAATGTAGCTTTTTCAAAACGAAAGTGAATGTTAATCTTTTGATATTCTTATGAAAAATATGGCGACCATAAGGTAATTTTTGAAGATTCAGATACTAATTGAATTGTATTAGCTAAGAAGCCACTATAAACTAAGGGAATGGAAATTTTCCATAATTTTTGAACGTATCTTAGCTAATTTCAATATAAGAAACTGAAAGATAAAGATGGTATAATTTGTACTAAAAAGATCAGAGACATAGAGATATTTTCATTGATGATGAGCCTTTTATTATCTAATTTCATTGGTGAAATACAAGAAATTAATATAATTACAAATACGAAAATCACAACAAATATTTGAATATACAAATTACAATACTTACAAACTTTGAACCACAAAATAATTCATATGATATCACTAATTGCAAAAAGTGCTAAATTTGCTGTTGATCATGATTATTCATAAGCCATGCCAGTCCTCTAAAAATAACACCGAGACTGAAAAGATTAACTATAAATCATTAAACAAAGTACTGTTTAAAANTTACCTATTCGAACATTTCACCCTGTTTTAAAAATTGGAAAAATAATTTTAATCCTAATGATATTTGTTGTCATGTTTTTATTGCTTAGCACATGGTTTTTTTCCTAAAAATGTAATTCTCACATTTGTACAAACAATTAATTATTAGGATGATCTGAATGATGTTTTCATTAATGAGAATGATTATTGCAGATATGACAGAAAATGCTTAAAAAATTAATGCTATATTTATTGAATATTTGGTACATACTATTATTCGAATGTATATGCGATATCATCTGCTGATTTCATTGAATTTGACCATTTAAATGAATATATTTTACCATGAAAATCCTTTCCACCACAGTAACCGAGGCATGTTCCTAATTTCAAATCACGAACTACAAAATTATTTGTGTTGGGTATATTAAGAAAGCCATAATTAACGCCATTCAAGTAGTAGTAAAGCTTCCGTGTGCTACTTTCATACACAAAAGCATAATAATCAAAAGGGTCTTCATTTAGAGGTTTTAATACAAGTCCATTCTTTACTAGTTCAGTATTTAAAAGAATTAAACCCTTTCCCTGCAAGGAAAATTTAGGTGCGCTATGACTATCCCTATACAGATATATCTCCTGGGTGCTTGCATAACTAACAGGTAACATATATTTAAACACAACTTCTATTGAAAAATCCCCAGTGTAACTGCCAAAATCATTATCATGAAGAACCTATATATGAAAATGAAACATTTTCAAGTTAATTAGATTTGATTCTTTTTCTTTCTTAACGAAAATATGCTATCTATATGCTAAACTATTATTATTGAATAAGTTAAAAAACAACAAACTTTCAAATAATTGCCATTCCCAAAGTAAATTGAACCATCTGCATTGAATTTTGCGCCAGAGCCAATAATAGTACCTTTTTTGTTCTTTCCACCAATGTCAAATAGTTCTGTGTTTGCTGATAAGTGTTCACTACCTGTTTTATCATACCAATCATATAATAGAACAGTGTGTGAATCTTTGAATAGGAATTGTCTTCTTGATTCATCTGTTGAATCAAAAAAAGGAATAAAAATATATTTTCTTAATAAAATAGATTAAAAAATATTTACAAATATAAAAGTTGAGGATAAAAAAAAGATAAAAATGCAACACTTTTCTCATTGCTTTCAATTCCAGAATGCATATTTGCTAACCTGTTGCTCACCTTTGAATTATTAAAAAGAGCAAAAATATCACAATTACCAATAATCAATAGCTATATTCAGTTCTGAAACTCTAATATTCATTAAGAATGAATAGCTTTATCTATGAATTGATAGCTCCTTGTAAATGAATTATTTTATTATTCATGTTCTTCTTGTTTTTAAATAATCTCTAAAAATCTATAAATATCTAAATACAGGAAATTTATCAGCCTAATGCATGTGGTAAAAGTAAGTAGTATTATGTATGGAAAAAAAGTATTGATTTCCGTAAATGTCAACTAAACTGGTGGATCAAGAAAAGGGATAATTATTTAAGAATAATCTAATAAATATTTATGTAATATTGAAAAAATTAAGGAAATAACGATATTTATGAATATTATAAGCAAAATATTTTTTTGTGATTTTCATCAATTTTTTCTTTACTTGTCTCAGCTTCATAATTATTGGAACATTCATTTGACATCTGGTTTGGCATTTAAATACACAGCTTTCGAATAGATGTGTTTTTTGACATATAAACATAGGTAGAGTAATGGACTGGGGGCTGATAACATTTGATGGTATTTATGAAATATTAACTTAAAACAGATAATAATAAGGGGTCAAGGTTGATAAGGGGTCAAGTCACGCGGGATGACAGCTCGGATGATCACTGAATAGTGTCTGACAGACTTGTATAAGAACATCGATAAGTACGCTATGATCTGATAAATTGCTAATTTGTGTGTTGATAAATGAATACAAAATACAAAAGGAAAAGATATTTTATTGACCCCTTATCAAGACATAAACAAACACTGTTTCATGAATCAAGGTTCATGAAACGCCAATCTCGAATCACCCTCACATATATAAAGTGGACGACATGTATATATGGACACAGTAAATTTTGATAGGCCAATTTTTAATTAATGGTTAAAATTGTTTGTCCTCTGCAAATTAGTATTTTTTGTCTAAATTTATATAGAAAAAGAGTTAAATTGACATAATATTGAAAAAAATTTAAGAAAATGATAATATTTTGTGAAGATTATTAGCAAATATTTTTAATAATTTTCATAAGTTTTTTCTTTATTTGGCTGCGTGACATGTTTATTGGAACATTGAGTAGACATCCAGTTTGACATTCAAATAAACATCTCAAACAAAAAATTTTTCAACTTTTTTCCTGTTTTAAGTTAAGTTAATTAGTTATTGAATATTCAAAATTACTGTACATAATTTATATTGTATTTTTTTAATTATGGTTTGGAGTCAAGATATAAGGGATTTGGTAATCAAGAAATATAGTGAAATAGGCAAATTAAGGGCAACAGCAAGAGTTTTAGGAATGGCACCATCATCAATTAGTAACATACTAAAGTATAAGAAGCCAGAACAAGACAATAGGGGAGGTCTAAAGAAGCTTTCTGACAGAGAGATAGTGAGGATGAAAAGAATTTTAAAGAAACTGAAAGATAACAAGCAAAGAGTGACAGCAGCAAAGATATTAAAAGAATTAGAAGTAGATGTAAGCATAAGAACAATACAGAGGGAGCTGAAAAGACAAAATTTCAAATATAAAAGAGTCAGACAAAGAACTGATCTCACCTCCAAAGACTGTAAATGCAGAAAAGCATACTGCCTCAAAGTTATTAGTGAAAATCTAGACTGGTCTAGGGTTATTTTTACTGATAAGGCTAGGTTTTCGCTAAGTGGACCTGACAATTTTAGGACTTGGACCAGTAATAGTGAAAAGGACTTCAGGGTCACAAAAAATATGGGGAGAGGTGGAGTATTGGTGTGGGGGTTGATAACCTCTGACGGCATATTTGAAGTCTGAAGGATAAGGAGCAAGCTGAATGCTGAAAACTATAGCTCCTTCATTGCGGAAGATGTTCTGCCTGTCATAGAAGAAATTGAGGCAAAAATGGGCAGGCAGTACATCTTCCAGCAAGACAATGCTGGCTGTCACACTGCAAGAAAAACAAAAAGGGCCTTTAAAAGCCATAATATCAAGCCCATTGATTGGCCAGCAAGGAGCTCTGATCTAAGTCCAATAGAGAACATATGGCATCTGACCAAGACAATGGTCTATGATGGTCCACAGTTTGAGACAGAGGATGAACTGTGGGAAAAGATTAAGAAATGCTCCTATGAGGTTATCAACAGAAATCCACTCTTGTTGCCAGGCTTATATGGGGGAATGGGCTGTAGAAAAAGCAAATGTATAGAAAGAGAGGGTGGGCACATACAAAAGTAGACCAAAAATTTAACTATTGAACATTGTTCCAATAAACATGTCGCATGGCCAAATAAGAAAAAAAAATCAGAAAACTATGGTAATTTCTATAAAAAAAAATATGTAAAAACGTAACTAACTGCTGTTTTAAAGAAATTTATATAAAATTGCAAGTTTAACCTATTATTAAACACTAAAAAAAATAAAAAAAATAATCTTTTTTCATCACAAAAAAGATTTTTAATATTTGGCCTATAAAAATTTGAGGTGTTCCAACACACCTGTTGTCCACTTTATATTTTCATTTTGGTAATTTTGTCTGTAATAGATGTATATGTTTGAAATTTTCATATTTCCAACCAAATTATTGGACACATATCAAAATATATAAATATATTTGGCTTTTTTGTAAGATGGAAATTCAATTATATCAGTTACAAAGAACTCTTTATAAGAATCCCACAAATCTTGGGAAAAAGTTGTTCTTTTCCCACCTGCAAGTAGCAACTTTGATGTAAGTAATATTTGTATCTTTTAAAAATACAAGTAAAAATGATGAATTAACTTGAAAAGAAAAGTTGGAAGAAAGAGAAAATGAATGTTTTTAAAAAACCTTGTTTCTCTGGTAAATCTAAAATCACTCTTTTAATTTCAAGAACATTTTTCAAATCAATTCCTATATAATTTATTGTTTTGCAGATTCCGCCAGTCTCAATATAGGTGGAAAAGAATCCATCACTCAGTATAGAGATAGAGCTTGGCCTTAATTCACTTCCATAAAAAACTTCAGTATTTTCTAAAGCAAACAGTTGATTGTCTAGAAAATTTTGAAGTTTTAATTGAAAATTAAAGACAAGAATTTGAAGTTTCTACCAGTTTCTTTTAATAAATTTCCTCTTATTTTAATATCTGTTATAGTCATGTAACTATCTTGAGTTTTCTGGAATCTGACAAACTGTCCCAGACAGTTGCATGCTTTACAAATATAACTGCTGTCCTCATGAAGAGTATACTGACTAACTTGACCAGTAAAATTAAGATATAGAGATTTATTGTCCAAGGGAGTCATTGAATTGCTAACAAAAACTTGAAAATTTCTCAAATGATCTGTATTTTATTTAGTCGTTTCAAAGATTTATAGATTTTTCTTTTCTATATCAAAGACTTACTAGAAATTCTGAAATTTCATAGTTACTCTGTAGGTCAATTAGTAAATATCCATTTACTATATTCTACTAGTAACAAAACACTGACATTGTTCAATAATGATAAAATTTAAAAGTATTAAAAAATAGAATTTTTCCAAAACAATCATTATTTTCTCAAAAAATGATTATTCCCTCTTCACTGGAACACTGTTTCTCAATAAATAACGTTCAACTACTGATTTTTATGAAGATATTTGTCAACTTGTTATCGAATAGTTTAAATAAAGTAGTAGCAACTATTATAAGTGTTATAGTAAAAAAGAATGAGCTAATTGCCATTTATGAATATTATTAGCCCTTGTTTTTGCCAAACCTTTTTGAATACCCCTAACCCTCCTGAGAACATATCAACAGTTATCTTATTCCTCCTAACCATTTCCCAGGCTGAAATCTAACTTTCAAATATTTCATTTATGGCCGTTTTCGACTGCGAAAACTAATAAAGGGAAACATAAATTGTGAGAGTTTTGCTTTGCAAAGCTTTTTGTTGTTTGACAAAAATCTCATCAATAAGTTTTCTTTGTCAATTAATATTAGAAGTTGATTCTAAGAAAAGTAGCGGTACTCGCTTTTGAATTATTAGATCTTGCTAATTGGCTCATAAAATATCGACAATTTCCTATTCAATTCGCTACTTAGCTGCAATCATTAAATTACTTTACAGTAATTCATTAGAGGTTAGAAACTAGAGACAAGTCGAATATATTTGAGATAAAAAAAAGATTTGTCACAATTTAAATGCCAAATGCCAACAGTTTTATGATTTTATACTAACTCTAATCGAGCTCTAGAACCCGCGATAAGTTTTTCTTTGTTTCTTAGCTTGGGCCAAGCTAATTACAAAAAAGTTTGTTTTTTGTTCTGAATCAGTGAAAACGTCATGATCTCTATCTACAGGAAATATTGTAAATTATGCATATAGTTAGAACAAACTGAATTGCAAAATATTTACTTAACAACCATAGAGTATTTGAATGAGCCTATGACTTAAAGCTTACAGAACATTTCTAAACGGGTAGTATGACTATGAAAGAGTATATCACTATCAAATGAATAATATGATTTATGTAATATGTTTTTTATATTTAAATATTTTGAATGTGTAATGAAAAGATGTTCATCTTTCAGTATAAAAAATAAAAAGAAGAATGAAACTCTTTACCAACCTTTTAATGTTATTTGAATAAAATTTAGGATATTAGGAACATCATTTTTTATTGATAGCTTTGTTATTTCTAAAGAAATCGATGTTTGTAAACTTCCTAGTAAATTGCTGCCATAAACTTTTCCAGAGCCAAATTTTATTTTATTATTATTGAATTCAATCCAATATTCATTCCAAGAACTGCAACTTATTAGCGAAACTTCTTCGCTAAATTCAACTTCATCTAAAGTTGGATGAATGACAGTGATCATTGATATTCCACTATCATTACCTCCATCATCAAGAGTTAATATAAATTTTTTAGTAGTGTTACTCATAAAATTAATAATTAGTGATGAACAGTCGTAAGATGAACCAGAATCAAAACCCTTGACCTTGAAATTCATTGCTTCTATTTTACCTTGAAGATATTCTGGTAAATGATAATCTACATCATTAACACTTTGAATACTGTAGATATTTTCATCAGTTTCTGAAAAGGTTTCAAAGTTGAAAAATGAAGGTAAAGAAAAAGAAATTTATATTTATTTTTACGTTTTGCAAAAACTTTAAAATAATTCAATCCATTTGAATTGTGATAATAAACATCTGTGATAACAACTTTGATACTAGATTCAATAGTTTGAGCATGATCATAGTTGAAATATTGATAGGCACTAGTTTGTGGTAAATTATTCTTCGTATCTATAAAACCTGAACTCCATTCTAAACGCATTCCTTTTATATAAGCGTTAGTTGTTGAATAACTGTAGATTGAGTGAAAAATTATTGTAGGATATTTTATCAGAAAGCTGGCGGAGATTTTGTCCAACAATTCATTAAGACGATATCTCTTAGGACAAAATCTCCAGATATATAATCTATTCACATATTAGCATAAGCATATATAACTGGCTGTGCAGGATATCCAAAAACTATATTAATATATTGTTCTAAACAATTTTGGGGTAAACCGCAATATGGTGTCCAATGTAGTGCAAAATATCTATCTAAGGCATTAGTACATGGTTTTGCAGCTTGTGAACTGGACGACGAACACGTAGCTCCAACATTTAAATCTGCTATATTAATATATTTCTCTTCTTCAATATCACTAGGATCTAAAAATTACATTTTAGTAGAACTATAAGTATTAATTTAATGAAGATAATAAATAGAAAACGCCATATTACCATCACTGTACGCCATTATAAATACTGAATTGAAACCAGAATCTACTGAGGTACTATCGCAGTTTATTGCCGTAAATTTCATACTAGAAATATCATTTCCAAGTCCTTCTTCGAGTAATAAACAAGTTGTTATTGATTTTAATTTGTATTCTTTTTCATTTATATTATTTCCATATTTTATCTTAACTTCTTTCAAAGGTCTATCAGGTTCTATAATTCTTTGGATAATACAGACTTCAACTACATCGTATGAGCTTTTAAAATGTACTGTCATTGATTTACCATTACAAGCAGTTGTACTGCAAGATGAAGCCCAATCGTCGTTTTTAAACCAGAGTGGTGTTAAAGCATTTTCACATTCAAAATTCAATATATAATGAGAATGGCGTTCGGAAGTTGCTGTACAAGAAGCTCCATTAACAGCCGACGCAACATTTACATATTTCTTGTTTGTTTGAATGGAAAAGTGAAATATTCCAAAAAATAACATCAAAACTATATAAAATGGTTTCATTTTGTAGTTAAGGTCTAGTTAAAGGATAGAATAAGAATAATCTTAATAAAGAATTATTTTATTTATTCCACGAATAATATTAATTATTAATTATTACTTAAACATCTACTCTAAAAGAGAAGAAGTTCTTGAATATATATTTAATAATTCACTATGGTGACAATACAAAAAGTCTTTCCAAGATATTATACTCTTCCATTGATCTCTCTTTGTAATTTTCAGTAAATTCTTCTAATGTATTCAATCAATAGAATTGGTAAATAAATATCCTAAAGAAGAACAAGAATATCCATTGTCTATCCATTGATTTAATGTTCTAAAACAGCAAAAACTATAATTTTTCTAATTGATATCTACGCATGATAAATTGATAAATTTAGAGGAAAAAAAATAAAGAACCTTTTTAAGCCAATATTCTTATTGACAAATAGAATTCAGTTGTTCACTTTTTTATATTTATTTATACAATTGACGTTTAAAGAAAATTCATTTTCTATAGGCCTATAGAAAAAAATGGCCACTTGAACAGACAGTTTTCTAAGCTAGATATCAGGAAGTTTACAAATTCTTTTAGAGAAGAGAAGAAAAATTTTTTATTTGATTCTTTTTTAAATGATTTCATTTAGATCTTTCAAAAATTGAAATAGTTTGTAATGTGTATTGTGTCAGTGTATTGATGATTCTTTGTTGTAAAATACTCTAAAATTTTTAAGTACAAAATCAGATTACACAGAAGATATACTGTTTGTAGATATGTTTATAATGACTAAGCCAGAACTTTTAGCATTAATGACTTATATGACAAACTTTTACTTTATTAAAAAGTACATCTTCCAAGACTATCTTATAGTAAAATTTTCTTATTGTCTCCGTAATTCCACTGCACGAAAATCTATATCTTTGATAAGAGTTATCACTCGTAAACGATTCTTTGAGTATACAAGGACCATTGGGCTCTGCTTCTTTCAGATTCTCATAAAATAAGTTAACCATTAATTGATTTTTGTCATCTTTATCAAAATATAAAGTAATTTCTGGATTGATATCTTCTGAATTGAAAGTTAAATTTCCCAACCTCCAACTTTCAATAACAGTTGATTTCTTTGATAAAACAAAACAGGTGGAATATAACTTATCATAAAGATATTCAGTGTAGTATTCTTCAGTGCATAGTCCGTTTTCTGTTACTCTCACAACTTTTCCCTCTGAATAGGAATAGAAAATTTGAATATTATTCAAATAGAAATTATTATTTACCTAAATCGTTGACACGCAATAAATGATGATAGGATGTTTGAAAATTCCTAATTAAGAATTTATCAGTTGGCCCATGTGATACAATTGGAGCAATAATTCTAGTATTTCTATTGTATATTAATCCTTTGCCAAGTTTAACTGTACCATCAAGAGTAGTTATCCAAAAATCATTCCATTGTCCACAAGTAACATACTCTTGCAGTTTATCTTTAAAATAGACAGATGGTGATAGTTTTTCCAAATAACTTTCAACAGTATTGGATAGAACCATCTTAAATGATTTTTTGTTATTACGATAGAAGTTAAAAACAATTCCTCCACAAACATTTGAAGCAGTTTGACTGCCATATACACTGAATGTCATTGCTTGGAAATTGTTTTGAATGTAAGGTGGAATTGTATATTGCATATGATCTTTTGTATGAATATCATAGTGTCTATCTTCTATATCTTTTAGAAATAAAAAATGTTGGCTAAAAAAAGAACAGTATTGAAAATAAACAAATATACAAAACCTTTAACAAACACCTGAACTAGGGACAAACCAATATTTCGAGTTGTAGATATCTCAACTACTTCAAGATATACTTTAGTTTCAATAAAATTTTTAGAATACTTGAAACATTTTTGAAATATGTTTAAATTCAATTCAACTATTTCCATTAAACCTGAACTCCATTTAACTTTCAATTTTGAAATAAATTGTAATCTAAAATGAACAATCATTGAAAAAATGAGTAATTTATTATGATTAAATAAATTCTGTTTAATTAACCTATTTGCTAGGCAAAAAATACTGGGAACACCATATACGCTGAATGAAACTTCCATGTGTTTTCCAATACAAGCCTGACCTGTGCATTTCGCAGCCCATTCATTTAAACTTTGAAAAGCTCCATTTATAAAATCTAATGCGTATTGGCATTCATAAGAAGAGGAGTATACTGAGTTAGCCGTACAAGTTGCTCCTGTTCTTACATTAGCTATGTCTGTATAGTAATTACTATTTTCTACTTTTTCTCTTATACCTGAAAGTATGATTATTATAAAAGTGATGAGTTTTAATTGTTTTTGTTATGCTTTTCACAATACACAAAGTACAAACCATCTTCGTAAGCAAAAATCATAATTGAAGAAAATCCAACATCAGCGGTTACTTTTGTTTGGACAGGTATAAAAGTCATACTTTTAACATTTTCTCCAAAAGTATATCTTGCTAAAAAGCATTCTACGTCTTTGTTTGTCGCATCAAGATTAAATTTATATTGATTTTTAGCATTAGAAGCAGTATTATAAATTACAGTCACTTCTTTAGCTTTATGGCTAATTGCCATAAAAGCATGCGATATGCAATATTCAACAATATCATAGACCTTCTGAAATACTATATTAACTTTATGATTGTTACAACGCCCATTACACTCAGTTAGATATGATTGCATGTTGATCCAATTAGGAGAAAGCATGCTTTTACAGTTGAAATTATAATTCCTAATAATTACTTTTGTGGAGTCGGCAGAACAAGTTGAATTCCACGAAATATCAGCAACATTTATTAAAACTTTGCCTTTCAAAAAGGGAAAATCAAAAATACAAAAAAAAGTTTCAAAAAGGAAATACTTACTTTCAACTTTTACTTGTAAAATTACAAGAAAACAAATAATATTCCTGTTTGCAATCATCCCTCTCTGTTTATTGAGTTATGTTTCTTTTACCTTCTATTCAACAAATATACATACTCTACTTATACTTAATAAAAGCAAATTCCAAATCTTTTAAAGTTTAAAATTTTAATATTTAATAAAAATTCTCTAAAACAACTGATATATAACTAATTAAGAAATTTTAATAGATTATTTATGGAATTTTAGAAATAAGTCTTTCTTTGTCTCTCTCTCTCTCTCTCTCTTCACTACGGCTTTCAATTAATACACAAGCAGATATGAATGGTTTATTTTGCATGTTGACTCAACAGATAAATTATTGAATGATTTTTCCACAACATGCATTATAAACATCATCACGGAGAAAGGTTTTATAAATAATACTGGCGTTTTGTGATTGAATATAATAGAATTTACAATTACAATCTGATCTCCATAGGACTATATCAGAGTTATAAATAAGCGTTAATACTGCAAAATGGATTGTCAATCGGCCGGTTAGGGTTAAGAAGAAAAATCTTTGACGTTTCTATGGATTTGACCAAGTTAGATGTCTCTTCCATTTCATTCCGGAATTTTTTCTACTATAGTTGTCTGATTTTGAATTTATCCATTTATTTCAATAACCAACTGCAAACACTACATTAAAATTCAAACTTGAAACACTCAAAACATTACAAATAAACATAAATACAAAATACAAAATTGAATATTCAAAAAGTTGTAAAAATTTGAAATATAAATTCAATGTTGTAGATTTTTGAGGATTGATAAGAGCGTCGAGTAAAGTTGAATTTGATAAGAGAGCTTCAACTTTTAGAAATTTTTTAAAGAAATATTTTTGAATTGCTGAAGATATAAAAACTGTATCAGAATTTTTACTAAAATCAGTCAAAGCTTGTAGGTTATATCTAAATATTCCACTTTGAAACAATTTATCAGAAGGATTGTTGTATCTCTTCGTTACGTAATTCAGGTATTTATATATTATATCCGTATACGTATTATTATAATTTTCGAATTGACAACCGGAAGTTGTTGCCACTTCCGAAGAAGAATGACAACTTTTTAAACTTTTTATAGAATTTAAACAATTTGTAGAATTTACACGTTGGATCCTCTGCAAAATGATCTCCGTCGTCTATAAGAATCAGCAATTTTTTGCTGTGATTCGTTAAAAATTCCTTCAAATGTATCTTCATTTCCTGGTTCTCATGGTCACTATTACAGAGGAGATCATTGAGTAGCGTCTATATCAAAGATAGTGATGATGATGGTATTAATGGTTCGTCATGTGACAGTCTTAATAGTAGATAATTTTGTAAAATTTTCTTATTTACCCATAAATAGAGTAGTCTATTAAGAAGTTGGGTTTTACCAATTTGAGCTGATCCAACAATACAATTATCTAAGGTATATTTAAAGTTGGATGTTAAATATTCAACGTCTTTTTGCCGTTTATCGTAAGGTTTCATTTGAAATAAATTCATTTGCATATATAATTTATCAAAAAACTTTTTACAATCAACATTCCTTACAATATCTTCACAGTTTGCTATGTTTGGTAGATATTTTAAAGAATTTAAATATTTCAAATGTCTTTTTCGTACCAGTTCTACCAGTTTTCTACAAGTTCTATTTTTATTTAAATTAGGATCCATATTAAATTCGGGTTTTTCCGTTTTAACTGAAGAAAACATATTGGTGTTTGCCTTGTGAATCCAAGGTAAAAATTTCAAGTCGTAGAAATTCTTTGTTGAAACTTTTTCAACAATCTTATTTTCAATCATAAATTTAATCTCTTTTTCAACTTCTAAAGTTAATGTTTTTAAATGTTTACATTCCATTAGAAAGCTTGCAATAGCGTCTATTTGTAATTGAGAAATCGAACCTGACAAATGAAATATCGTTAGATTTTCCGAACAGCTTTTCAAGTGTTCAAAAATCATTGATAATAGTTTTTGATCTTCCTCAATTAATTCTTCGTTTTCGTTCTCCATCAAGTGAAAAGTTAGACTAATATCTTCGAGAAAGTGGCAATTTGCCAAAAGTTCGCTTAATTTTGACAATTCCTCTATAGTGATAATAGGGCAATTATACAAATTGAGAATTTTCAAATTATGCGAAGATGTTTCTAAAGATTGAAAAATTTTTCCCAAACTATTACCAATATTTTTGTTATTACCAATGTCAATTTCCCTTAAATTTGGGCATTTTTCCAAAACATCAGCCAAACTATTACCATATCTTTCGTCTATATTGCAGGAGTTAAACTTCAATGATTGAATTGTCGAAGAAGACAATATCAGTTTCTGCAAAAAATCACTGTCATTTTCGTCATAAAGTCTTGTAAAACTGGTGAATAAGTTAGCATTATGACTGAATTTGTTCAAATCTGAACAATTCTCAAAATGAATTGTATAGAAAGTATTCATAAAATTTAAATCATTCAAGCAAAATTTCTCCATAAGAAATATTTGAAATTTTTTATATTGCGTAACGTTATCAGCTATAAAATAATTTCTCATAGAACATTTTGAAATATTCAAATATTGTAGTTTGTATTGATTTGGTTGAATATCTTCGAAGAAGATATGTAAATTGTTACCAACATTTCCGTTTCCGCTAAGAATTATAGATTGAGGGTTTGTTAAACTTTTAAAAAGTTGCCAAAAACCTTTTACGCAATCGATTGAAAGATTACAACCCGAAAAATCCAAAGTACTTATTGTATTCGAATATAACGATTGTAAAGATTGAAATATTTCCATCATTCTTTCTTCCTTAATTGAATTATTATTGTTCAAAGTGAAAACGCATAAACTTTGGCATTTTTCCAATAATTTTTTCAATCTATTACTACCATCAACTTTTAATTTACAATCGTTAATTCGTAAAATTTTTAAAGTTTTAGCAGACGACAAAAGTGATTTGAATAGATATTGGGAAGTTACCTTCATGATTTGATTTCCACTTAGATTGACATTTTCCAAATAACAACATGCTTGAAAAAGTTTAGTTAAGTTTTGTAAACTGGTAGAATTCAAATAGCAATGGCTGAATGAGATTGCTTTAAGAGTTTTTGAACAATGCATTAGACTATTAACAATTTTTTTAAATTGTCCACAAAATTTTGTGTTATAAGACAAATCAATTTCCGTTAAATTTTCCAACTTCAACAAAAATTTGACTAGGCCTTCATATTGGTAACTTTTGTCGAAATTACTACTGGAAAAATTGATATACTGCAATGTCTTATTAGATGGTAATTTCGCAATTCTGAAGACATTTAAAAATTCAAAATCAAAACAAACAATTTGTGATAAATGTAAATATTCCAATTTGCTTAAATGTTTAATTAAATAACCCAAAATAAAACAACTAGATTTATCCAAATAACAATTTTCAACTGAAAGTTCTTTAATTTCATTTTTTTTATTGAATAAAGACCGCAGTAAATATTTCTCATTGCAGTGCCAATAAATTTAATATTCTTCATTTTAAACGATTTCAAATCTTTTAACATTGAAAAACAAGATGAAAATATTGAACTTATCTTATCATCCCTTACTAAATTATTAATATGGAAATATTTCAATTCCTTCGCTGATTGGTTCATAATATTTTCAAATTCTTTTAAAAATCTTCCAGTTTTGAAATTATCCATTGTAACTCTTTCTATACCTTTTCTTTTACTTAAATAGGTCATTATTCCATAGGATATTTCCCCATTTTCAAATTGGGTATCCAAATCAATTTCTTTTAATTTTTCATTCCACGACTCTAAGAAATCTGTAAAAAGTTTTTTTCGTTGCTCGATAGATGGCGCTAAAAAGAATGGAATATCCGGAAATGAGATAAAATCCCTTTCCATTGCGTATTTGATATTTTTTATCGTGTCTTGAAATTTTCTATTTTCAAACAGCAAATTATAATCGTCGATTTCGGTTTGTTGATTTTGAGCATCTGAATTAAACATAACGACTGGTTGTTGACCTTTCTTGGGAACAATGGATACCATGTTGAGTGCTTTGGTTCGTCTTAACATTTTCAATGGCATAACATGATTATAGCCATCTGGATAATCGTCATTATTCATCCAAGGACGTTTTATGCTATTTGTACAAACTAAATTATAATTGGAAATGTAGTCTTTACATTTGTGAAAAAATTCTATATCCGGTTCAACAATTTCGCAATTAATAATACAAAAATTTGAATTCTTGTTTGAATCTGATTAGTGCTTTGAATGAATTCAATATCAAATTCATATTCGTCGAATATCAATTTTTTCAATTTTTTCATTTTTTTAACAGACGATAAAAATTCATAGAAATTTTTTTCCAAGTCAATTAAAAACTTGTTTTCCATTGTTTTAAACGTTAAAACTGTTAGTTGAGTACAAATTTTAATATTTTCAAAGAGAGCTGTCTCGTCTGAATCTGTTGGAAATTCACAATCGATTAACACTAATTCCGTTAAAGTTGCCTGAAATTTCTTAAGTATAGCCTCAATAATATAATTCGTCAGAATTTCTTTTTCCAGAGTTACACTTGTAAGACTATCGTCACCATTTATTAAATCTATCAATGTTTTTGATAGAGAAAATTTTCTTTTTAACTCCTCTACACACATCATTCGCTGGTAGACGTTGTTTGAGTATTTATTCAAAAAGTACATTAACTGATATACTTCCGTTTTCAGTCTTTTTCATCTTATTATGACAATGAAAGACAAAAACAGGTCAATCTTACAACTTTCAAATTTGCCATGGGGGAGAAAATGGCAATTGAACAGAGTTGCTAAGTGTTAATATTACAAAAAGTATTTTTTTGATATGTTCAGCTTTCAATCACTTCCGTTGAATTGGAGATAACATTCACAAAAAAGTGAAAAGAGTGTTTTGTTTTAGAAAATATCTTACTTTCTTATTTGACAAAAAGAAATAGATACCAGTTGAAATAAGCCAATAAAATAGATCTATACCCTGGACTCTTATATAAACATTTTATCATTTACTAATCCATTAACAATATTAAAGTAGAGAGTTCTGTGAATGTTTTTTGTATAAAAATATTGAACATCTGTTCAGAAGAATAATGGCTAATAAACTATTTCTAAACAAGTTTATTGCTATGTGTATTTTCACATACACATGAAGTGGCCTTATCTTAGATCATATTTCCTGTCCAAAGTTCAAAAGCTACTCAATTGAGAACATTAAATAAATATTGTTTTTATTTTTTTATAGCTAAAATTAGAAAGGAATATCTTTCATTTTATGTTTAAAAAACTGTGTTCAAAGTTGCAAACCGAATAGTATGGCGTCTAATTTTCAAGTTCCAGTTTCTTTCATTTCGGGATGAATGCTAAAAAAAGATGCTGAAATGTGGAAGTAGTTTTATATTAACTCGAATTTAAAGTTATATTGATATTGTACAACTTTAAGAGTTCGCAATGCCATAAATACACTCCTATCCACTAAAATAGCATATGCTACTCTGCGGATTGATATTGGACGATTGTTACAAATACGAGCTACTTGACCTTAAAAAAATGAAACTTTCATATCATTCCCTCTCTTTCACATTCATTCTCACTGATTCATACTGACACACAACACAATAAAAAAGCTCTGTTTTATTCATAGTGTAATATAAAATAATCTAAGTGATTGAACTATAAAATAGAACACTTATAAGTTAATTTTATATTAAAATTTCAAATTCTGAAGATGATTTTCTCTCTCTAGAATCTTATTCTTCTGCTTCTATTTCACAAACTTTTTTTGAAGAATTAGCCAACTGAGTAAAAATATGAATATAGAGTTCTCTGGAATTTTTTTGTTCGCAAACAAAATTCAAATCACCAGTTTGTTTACATAATTCAAGTTTGCTTCCATTCAATTTAGTGTATATCATTGCCGATAAACTATCATTTAATGACGAGATTATCTTAATCTTTCTATTAAAATAATATCTTAGGTGTAGGGCTGAGACTGATTTATCAATTTCTATACAAGTATTTACATCACCATCAATCAGAAATTGAACATTCTGAGTACAATTAATAGACGATAATACTTGAATGTTTTTGACAATATAATTAATGCATTTCAAAGGTTTTATTATATGTTTTGCCCATTCATTTTCAGCATCTAAATCTCCGTAAGAAGTTTGTACCAGAGGTAGTCTTTTAGGTAAAACTGCCAAATTACCTTCTAGAATGTATGTTTGATCGTTTGCGCTAGCTCCATAATCAGTACATTCATTTATCGGATTATTGGCGCAAGGTTGATCTATTATACATTTACATATTCCATCATTCGCTTCTTTCAATTTATAAGTTGTTCCATCAAGAAATGTAAAATAGAAACGGGACGATTGAGTATTATTTGCCATTAAATACATTCCTTGGGTACAATTTCCAGCATTTTCAACAAATTCTTTCAATTCGTAATTGTTTAATGTTGAATATGTGATGTTAATAACTTTATTTTTAACATGACTAGCAGTTTTAAGTAAAACATCTTTTTCAGCATCATTATCAATTTCACTTTCAACATAAATATTATTAATGTATGAACATTTTACATTAGCTATATTTCCATTGTGAATAGGCTGAATTTTATAAGTTGATGTACTATAATTGTTATAAATTAAAGCATCCGAACAACTCCTATATATAGATTTTGAATATTCAAATTTTATAGAAACATATAAAAAAGTAAGTAGGAAATAAATGATATTCATTATTGAGTACTACTCGGATCTGGTCAACTTACAAGTATAAGGAATCCCCAAAAGTGTTGTCTTATATATTCACACTTTATATAATATTAATGAATTTGAAATATAAGAATATTAAGATCGCTAGTCATTAGATGCATGATAGAATTATCAATAGATATTAAACAAATGTACAATTCAAAGAATATTTATTAACAAGTTAATTGTTAACGAATTGAATAACAGTATAGGCCTTGTTTTTGTCTAACTTTTAGATGAGATCCAAACTCCAAAATATGTCATTTTTGTGACTGTTTTCAACCAGTTCTATCTTATAGAGTACTTATTTACTTCGTTTATCAATAAAAATAACAAAGTAATACAAGTTGCATTGTAGAAAATTTACTCAATAATTCTTTGTTTGGTTTACATTAATAATAGATAATTAACAAACAGAATTACTGCAGATGAATATCAGGCCTACAAAAAATATTGTTTATACATGTATGAAATAATAATGTTCTTTGTTTTATTCTATATGTAGCAATTTCTTTCACATTACTATTGAATTAGTCTATTGTAATCATTATTAATTCCTTTAAAGCAACGGTACAATTGTATAGAAAATTTCTTTACCTATCTACAAATTTATATATAAAATAAAATGAGTACGTTTTAGGGATCTGATCAATTTGTTGGCATTACGTAATTAACTGTCTTAGAAACGAGAAAAGGAACATGGAGACATTTTATCTTCCTTCTATTCCCTTTTACCAGATTACCAGAGTAGATATTAACTAGCACATGAGATTGATTTATTGCTGATATCTTCATCAAAGACCTAATAGTTGGACGAATTAGACTCATTTTTTATGTTACATTAAAATGTCGCTGAATATATCATAATTGTTCATTACTCAAATCACACTCTTCTAAATTAATACATTTTAAAGTTTTAGCACAAGGTTTAAGGCTGTCACATATCATTTTTAATTCGTCTCCAAGTTCCGCATTATGAGACAAATCAATATATTCCAACAAGGAACAATCTCGAAATGTTTCTGTGAAGCCTTTTGTTTTATAAAAATTCAATTTACAATGACTGATATTAATCTTCTTTAAAGTATTTGAAGAAGATTTCAGAGCTTTGAATATCTTTTCAAATCCTTTTTCTATATTATGGCAATAGGACAAGTTAATATTTCTCAATGAACTACACTGTTGAATCGCTTTTGCCAACTGTCTTCCTTGCCTTTCATTCAAGTCGCATTGATCCAAATTGATATCTTTTAAACTTTTTGAACAGAATTTGAGGCTTTCACAAATCGAGTCAAATTCATTTTCCATGTTAGAATTTTTTGATAAGTCAATATTTTGCAAACACCTGCACAGCTTTAAAACTTGTGCTAAATATTTTGTGTCAGTAGCATTCAGTTCGCAGTTTCTTATCTTAAATTCTTTTAAAATATTTGAAGAGGATTTAAGACTTTCGCAAATCGTTTTGAATTCTTTTCCCATATGTGAATTATTAGATAAATCAACATTTTCTAATAAAGAACATTGTTGAAAAGTTTCAGCTAAACTTTTTGCTTGCTCTTCATTCAAATTACAGCAATTTACTTTAATTTGTTTTAAAGTATTTGCAGAAGATCTGAGGCCTTCGTGAATCTGAATTATTTCGTTTCCAATTGTTGAATTGTTAGATAAGTTAAAACTTTCCAGTGATGTACATTGGCAAATTAGTTCTGCTAGAGACATCGCCTGGCGTTGATTGATATCACAGAAAGCTACTGTAATTTGTTTTAAATGGCTGGAAGAGAATTTCAAACTTTTGCATATCTTTTCAAAATTGTCACCCATTTTAGAATTGTAAGATAAGTCGACATTTTCCAAAAAAATACATTTTTGAAATATTTCCGCCAAATGATCAGCTGCATCTTCATTCAAATTACATTTGCTGATATTGATCTTTCTTAAATTGTTAGAGGATGAATGAAGGCTTTTGCAAATTTCTCTAATTTCATTTCCCATTCTAGGATTGTGACACAAGTCAATATTTTCCAATAAAGAACACTGTTGAAATGTTTCTGCTAAATACAAAGTTTGATCTTTATTCAGATTGCACTTCCAAATATTGATAAATTTTAAAGTGTTTTTAGAGGTTTTGAGTCCTGTACAAATGTTCTTAAATCCCTTTCCCATTACAGAATTGCAACCCAAATCTATACCTTCTAACGAAGAGCATTTTGCAAGCAATTTTGCTATGTAGTTGGCTTCAAAGTGAGTCAAATCATCCAACCATATATTGATATACTTTAAAGTGTCAGAAGATGATTCAAGCTTTTTACAAATCATTTTAAGCCCAGTTTTCAAGTTAGGATTTTTAGCTAAATCGACATTTTCCAAAGAGGAACATCTTTCAAATACTTTTTCCAAGTGTTTTCCTTGATTGTTTGTCAGCGTGCAGCAACTTAGGCTGATTTGTTTTAAATTGTGAGAAGAAGATACGAGACCTTCGCAAATCTTTTCAAATCCAGTTTCCATTGCAGTATTGTAGGATAGGTCAACTTTCTCCAAATGAGAACATTGCTGAAATATTTCTCCTAAACATTCTGCTTGTTCCTGATTTAAATAACACCATGATGCATTGATATCTTTTAATGTTCTAAAAGAGAGTCTAAGGCTTTCACAAATTGTTTTAAATTCATTTCCAAAGTTTGGATTTCCAGATAAGTCAACATTTTCAATTGTAGAACATTTTCTAAAGATATCTGCTAGATATTTTGCTTGGCTATTACTCAAATTACACTGACTTATATTTATCTGTTTAAGAGTGTTAGCTGATGATTTCAGTCCTTCACAAATCTTTTTAAATCCAATGCCCATTGCAGTATTGCATGATAAATCAACAATTTGTAAAGAAGAGCAATCTTGAAATATTTCTCCAATAAATTTAGCTTGTTGATCATTCAAATTACATGAATTTAAATTGATAATATTGAGAGTGTTGGAAAAAGATGTGATAGCCTGAAGAAAACTTTGAAGATTAACATTGCAGTTGGATAATGAAAAGTATTTAATATTGGTACATTTACTTAAAACTAGTTGAGTCTTTTCATAAAATGTAACAAAATGTGAATAATCATTATTTATATCAAAAATTTGTAGTGTATGAGCCATAATCTCTAATATATCATCATATAAACTCTCAAATGAAGACTTGTCCGCTGCTTGATATATATTTATTGGAATATTATCAATATGGATTATTTTCATTTTCAATGCCCATTTTATCTTTTCCAAATGGTCCATTTTAAGATCAACTGACAATTTATCATTAAAAGCTACTCTAGTTTCACAGTTATTTAGAAATAAAGAGATTTTTTGTTGATTGGAAATATTTATTTGAATTGTATTTAGTTGTGATTTTGAGCACCCAATTCCCAAAAAATCCTGATGAAGGTCAATATCATTTGACACATATTCATAACAATTCCAAAAGAATTTCTGAGTTGGATCAGTTACATTGCAATTCTTTATTGTTAATCTTTTAAATCTTTGTGTCTCTCTTTTTAGTTTTATCAATTCAAAAAAATGATTAGAATCATTTCCACAGAATAATTTATTCTCAATTGTCATAGTTTTTAAAAATTGGCATTCTTTAACAAATTTTAATGTGTTTTCTGTGAAAAAATTGTTGAAATTATAAGATTTATCTATAAGATCCGTGATATTTCCAGATCCGAATGTTACCCCAATCAACCAATTTCTTCCATTGCTACAGTTTGATATTTTTATCTTTTCAATGTTCTTTTGCATTTTTGATCCTTGAAGTTCATTTTCTCTTGAGATTTGAATAGTTTCTTTAAGAAAATGTATATATTGAATGTTTGTGGATGAAATCAAAGTGATAATTCTTTCAAAGATAACATCAAATGAAAATCTATAATCTTTACATTTCAGTACAATATTAGTTAACATTGGTGAATGTAAGGACAGCTGTTCCAGTAAAAGATTGACATTAACTTGAGTGTTGTACAGTTTCAGCTCTTCCAAATTCTTTCCTTTACTCTCCACTAATACTTTTAATATGGTATCATTCAAATATTCATTTTCCAAAGAGAGTTCTCTATTGCCATCAGAAGCAGAAGATAAGTATTCTTTTATCTCTTGACTACAATCAAACATATGTCTTGCAATTTCAGAAAACAATAGAATATCTTGAAAGATAGATGGAGACTTTTGTTCAACAAATTCCAAAACATTATACATTTTGGTGTTATTAGTTTCTGTTAAGAACTCATCTAAAGTTTTCTCATTCTCCAATCCTTCATTTAATATCAATTTTTTAGATTTTGTTTCAAATTCACTTAAAAGAAATTGAGCAGAAAAAAATTCCTGAAATGATAAATGATAGAATTGCAACTCTCTTCTATTGTTTTCAGCTGGAATGATATCTATTAAACCTTTAAAGGTATTTGCAATGGATTGTTCTTTATCATTATTGGAATCGAGGAAAATTTTACTTTTTGGAAGATTAATAAAACATAATCTAAACATTTCTTTCTTATCAAATTGATGTTCTTCTCTATTTTGTAAATTTTTCTCTAAAGTAATGTCAATAAAATCTTCATAGATTTTATATAGAGTTTTCTTAAAGATATCTCCTTTTTCCTTCCAAACAAAAAAAAGAATCATTGCTAAAAGTGGAACTCTACACATACTTTGAATTTTGTGATGTTTATTAACAACATTTTGAATGAACTGTTCAGCTTGAATTATTTGATTTTCAGTAAAACACTTATTAAAGAATATCTCCATTTGATTACTATTCCATCCTGTTAGCTCAAATGTAACATCACAAGTACTTTTAATTTCCTTCCCTTTCCACTTTCTACACCAAATCACAGTTGGAATAATACAATTTGCTTTATCAATAAAATCGTTTAGTTGATGTTCTTGTAGATGAAATTCATCAGCTCCATCTAGAAATAGTATAATATCGTCTTTCTTCTCTTCAAAAAATGATTGAATGATGTGTTCATTAACGTATTCAATATTTTTGAAATTTTGCTTAAAAATCTCCTGATAAACATTTGTTTGTTGTTGAACATTTCTCAAAATAAGGAATAAACATAGTTTTTCATTATTTGTTTTCCATCTTTCATTAGCCCAAGTGTAGATAAGATTTTTAATATGAACACTTTTGCCAATTCCAGGTTCTCCTTGAATTAAAAGTTTATTAAATTTTTTATTAAAAATTTGATAGAAATTATCATAATCTATTTCAGTATAAACACATTTACTGTCAATGATATCTGTGTCAACTACCTCTGATATTCTGATAGATGTAACAATATCTGTAATTTTAACTGACTTTATTTCACCAAAAGGAAGAAGTTTAATTGTAGAAAAATCCTTTTTTCTTTCTGTTTTTGTATCTAAAATTAGCATTTTCCAAACATAATCCGAATTATCTAAATTTTTAGCCAATCCATCACAATTTAAACCTCCAATTTCTGTTAGAATATAAATAATATGTTGTATTTTGTGAGTATTTAGTATGCTAATAAGGTCATCAACTGCTTCTTCTCTTCCTCCGTTTGTATATTTGTAGTCTAGTCCTTCTTCAATATCTTTGCAAATGAGCCCCTCACGACATAAATATAAGCAAAACTTTTTAAATGTTACCTCTGTTTCCAATAATCTCTTAAAATGTTTTTTATAATAATTAAAGCACAATTTTTCAACTGAAGTCATTCCCTTAAGCATTTTTTAAGCCGCTTCCTAATGCGAGTTCATCTAATAACCTTTGACAATAGAAGCTATATTACATGCCATATTTATCTATCTATCTATCTATCTTAT